GGGCATTGGGGAAGTCTTTAAAGTGTTGGCTAGCTCATGTCTGTCTCTGCAGCTAGCAAAGCGGTGGAAAGACAGTGACAGAGATGACTTCCTAGATGACTTTGGGTCTGAGAATGAAGGGGACCTTAGTTCCCAGAAGCTGAAGTCACCCCCTGCCCAGCAGGTGAGGAAGGACGAAGGCCTGCTAAGTGGGGAGGGCAAGAGAGGGAGGAAGGAGAAAGGGACTATAGGTGTACATTGTCTCCCAGTCTGGGTCATGAACTTCTTTCTAGTCCTCCTGCATCACACTTGTTTGTGAAAACCAAACTGACTATGTTTGTCATTTCTGTCCCAGACTGGAAATGATGAAAAAGGGGCTCCTGATGGGGGCCCAGGCTTGAGCAACAGCCAGGAGCTGGACAGCGGTGTTGGCCGGACTGATGAGAGTACCCGCAATGAAGAGAGCTCTGAACATGACCTGCTGGGTGATGAGCCCCCCAGCACCACCAACACCCCTGGAAGTCTGCGCAAGTTTGGCCTGCAAGGGGATGCCCTGCAGAGCAGGGATTTCCACTTCAGCATGGACTCTCTGCTGGCCGAGGGGGCAGGACTGGGAGGGGCTGACCTGCCTGGGCTCACTGATGAGGAGTATGAACGATACCGGGAACTGCTGGAGATCAAGTGCCACCTGGAGAATGGCAACCAGCTAGGCATCTTCTTCTCCCGGGCCTCCAGTGGCAATAGTGCCCTGGATGTCAACCGCAATGAAAGCCTAGGCCATGAGATGGCCATGCTGGAGGAGGAGCTTCGACACCTAGAGTTCAAGTGCCGCAACATTTTGCGGGCACAGAAGATGCAGCAGTTGCGGGAGCGCTGTATGAAGGCCTGGCTGCTGGAGGAGGAGAGCCTCTATGACCTAGCAGCCAGTGAGCCCAAAAAGCATGAACTGTCTGATATCTCTGAGCTGCCAGAGAAATCAGACAAGGATAGCACCAGTGCCTACAACACTGGGGAGAGCTGCCGTAGCACTCCATTGCTTGTGGAGCCTCTGCCTGAGATGCCTCTGAAGCGATCTGCTGCTGGCAATTCCAACTTGAACCGAACCCCTTCTGGCCCTCCTGTCACCACCCACCCCAAGGGGTCTCCTTCACCAGGAAGCCCTGCCAAGTTCCGATCACTCTCTCGGGATCCTGAGGTGGGCCGGAGACAGCACACAGAGGAGCGTGTCCGCCGCAACACCAAGACAGGTGTTCCTCTGGAGCGTGTTGGCCCCGAAGGCAGCCCTTATCTCTCCAGGCGTCATCGTGGCCAGGAGAGTGAGCACTACCACAGCTGTGTGCAGTTGGCCCCACCACGCACCCTGGAGGATCTGGGCCATGGCTCCTTGAGCTTGGCTAGTGGTCCTCGGGTGGGTGGGGTGGTGGCTGCAGCTGTTGAAGCACCCCGAATGGAGTGGAAAGTGAAGGTTCGAAGTGATGGAACCCGCTATGTGGCTAAGCGGCCTGTGCGAGATCGGCTGCTGAAGGCTAGGGCCCTGAAGATCCGGGAGGAGCGCAGCGGCATGACCACTGATGATGATGCAGTAAGTGAAATGAAGATGGGCCGTTACTGGAGCAAGGAAGAGAGGAAGCAGCACCTGATCCGAGCACGGGAGCAACGGAAGCGGCGTGAGTTCATGATGCAGAGCCGCCTGGAGTGTCTAAGGGAGCAACAGAATGGTGACAGCAAGCCTGAGCTCAACATCATCGCACTGAGCCACCGTAAGACCATGAAGAAGCGAAACAAGAAGATCCTGGACAACTGGATCACAATCCAAGAGATGCTGGCCCATGGTGCCCGCTCAGCCGATGGAAAAAGGATCTACAACCCTCTGCTCTCTGTTACCACTGTCTGAGCTGCCCCAGCAGAAGCCCAGCCCAGGTCTAGAAAGCCTAACCCTCACCCTCCCTTAGAATCTAGTATGTGTCTGTGTGTGCGCTTGTACGCTGTGCTCATGTACACTCCTGTATTTGTATATGTGCACAGACCTTTGGTAATAGAAAGCTCCTAGAAGGGACACTTCTCTCCCACCACCTATTTCCTTCTCCCCAAGAGGCTATGCCAACAGCCAGCATAGAGGGCATACCCATAAAGGGCAACTGTGTGTTTGTGCATGTTTGTGTACATACACAATGCTCTTAGTGTGTTCTTGGAGACAGGGAAGTCAGTGCAGTGAGAGGTGCGGTAGACTATCCTAAGCACAAGAGAATGTCCAGCTTCTTGCTGAGCACAGCCTCTCCCCACCCCTGGAAGCTGCAGTTATTTGTAGAAAAAGGCAACCCTAAATTTTGTGGTTTTTCTCCTTTTCTGTGCTTGCCAATAGTTGTTTTCTGTTTTGTGGACCTGCTCTAGGGGTTGGCAGATCCTTCAGGCAGCCTGACAAAGGTGGACCCCACCAAACGCTGGCTGGGAAGGAGGTTGGGGGGAGGAAAAGAGGGAGGGTTGGGTGGGAGGGAAAGAAAGGGGATGGGGAAGAATAGGAAGCAGCTGTCCTGGTGGTCTCTACTCTGAGGGGTGGCAGGGAGGATCTGAGTTGGCTTTTCAAAGTGCACCCATGAGGCCCACCTCCTTCCCCAGTGACTGAAAGAGAGTGAAATCACAGGGATTATGGGCACAGTATCCATCCAAAAAGAATTTGCTGACCCCTGGCCTATGCCACTTGGAGCAGAGCCACTCTTTTTGGTGGCCTGATCAAGGAGCTTAGATGTCCAGGGGTTTGAGAAGCCAAACCCAATGGGCAACAGGAAAGACCTCACCTAGCCTAGAGAAGATCTGGTGGGAGTTGGGAGGCCTGGACCCAGTAAAAGGAAGGTGGGCTGAGTGAGAGATGCCTAGAACCTCTTTCAGCGATGCAACTTTCAAATGTGCCATGTTTTATGCCTCTCTGGCTTGGTGAAGCTCATATTGGAAGCTACAGGAAACCCCTATTCTCTATCTACATCCCAAGAATAAAGCAAGCTGCCTTTTTACTCTGTTGATTGGGCTCCCTGTGTTCACTGTCATCATGCTGTTTGTGCTTGGAGTCAGTTCATTAGTTTCTAAATGCCCAGATTTCTACAGCAAATTGGTGGTAGGCAAGATGCCAAGATGGATGTGAGTGGGAAATCTGAGGACCCGTTCCCAGAAGCCGAGTCCTGTTGCTGGGAAGGCTGGGTAACAAGGACACAGTCTCATCCCCCTGCCACTCAACAGCTCTGGATGGGAATATACATTGCAACCATGCTGGTGAATAGGGAAGGGAAAGAGGCTTGTAGGGAGTGGTGGGAATGGGAGAGCAGAGGGCTAGATACTGGCTTCAGATGCTTTTAGGGGTGTCTCCAGCTCTCTACCACTTCCCAGTGAAGGAGACTACTGCGAGCTCTGGAGTCACCCTAGTCTCTGGTGGTGGGGTCTCAGGACCAGGATGTGGGCTGATACTGATGCTGCCTTGGCTAGCTCGGGGAAAGGTGGCATCAGGATGGCTGGCAGCACTAGGTTACTGATACCCTGGAACACCAACTTCACATTTAGCTATCATTGCCATCTGACCAGGTGGTGGAGACAGAACCAAAAAGAGCAACTGGTTGGCTGATAGCTGTTGCCACTCACTGACTGACTACAGGCTGATGTCAGAACATAAAAAAGTCACTTGTCATTTGAACCTCAGCAGCCAAGGGGAGAAGCTACTGCTTCCAGCTCTGGCCTTTCCTGAATCTGCTGTTCACCTACTGTTGTCAAGACTCCCAGCACTACTCCCTTAGTGCATCCCAGACACATCCCAAGAACTGAGAATGGCAGACCCCTTAGCTTGGATGAACCTGGTTCATAAACTGTGCTTATATGCTCTGACACCTTCTACACCCCCAGCCAACACCCAGCCCTTTCACTGTTTGCCACAGAGGTTAAGCAAGGAACCCTTACCACTTACCAGCTGTTCCAATGATCTATCATGGAGACTAGATAGCACTAGAGAAGTGGCTTTAGGCATGCAGCAGGATGGGTTTACTTGGGGCTTGGCATCCAGCCTCTTCCCAACTATCCTTCCATAGTACTAAGGAGCACTACTCAACTGGCTGGTGCCCAGCTTGTGTTAAAACCTGGGCAAAGAGATAACATGGAGTACAAGCAGGGCTTCCTGGCCTGTCTTACAGGCCCTACACGCTCATAGCAGAGGCCTCACTAGGGAAGGAACTCCTATAAGTATGGGAGGCTGCTCTTCAAAGATCCAGCACTAAATTGGATATTGTGAACAGCAGCAGGCCAGGAAGCAACATGGCATGGTTAGGGTGTGGAGTCCAGAAGGAATGTCCCCCTGTGCTTGGGGCAGCTGGTACATGTGACAACTACAAATGCATCAGCAAGACAGGGCCTCAGTGCTAAGCAAGCAAAGCACAAAAGCACTTGCATGTGCTTTTGACCACCCCCAACATAGGAGCCACTGTAAAGATGAGGCTGGTTGTAATGGTTCTGACTGCTGAATTTGGGGGAGACTAGGAGAGGCCCTTGCCTTCTCTGCATGGGAAGATGCCATTCCCAATCACAGGTGCAGTAAAGGCCCTCCAGCCCAAGGCAGTCCCAAAGAGTCACAGGGTCCTGCCTACCCTAGGCTGGCCATGGGAATGCTTTCTGATAAGAAGCCTGGTGGAGACCCAGTTCTGCTTTGGGGACTAGTAAGGACAAGAAAGATGGACTTTTCTTTTTTTCTTTGATTTTGACAGGGTTTCTCTGTAGCCCTGGCCATTCTGGAAGTTGCTCTGTAGACCAGGCTGGCCTCAAACTCAGATCCGCCTGCCTCTGCCTCCCAAGTGGTACAATTAAAGGTGTGTGCCACCACTGCCCGGCTGGAAAGATCTTTTCTAAAAAGGCTACATACTAGAAAAGAAAACAGAGGACACTGGGGAAAGTACAGATCCCCATTCAGTATCTCTGCTATTCAGGTAGATAAGGGCAGCTGGATATCTAGCTCTCCCAATGGACACAGGAATCCCGTGTCTTAAATGTACTCATGTCAAATAGCAACTGTTTATTCAAAGAAGCAATAGAAGGCGGATGCTGCCCTCAGGCCTGGATGTGGCTCTTTGCACTGAAGGCTAGGTAGTAGATCACTATGCCGATTACTGCAGCCAGCACTTCCGTAGAGACCCACGGCCCATTCCAGGTGCCCTACAAGAAAAAGACCAAAAGACAGCTCAGGGGAGTGACAGGAAAGTAGACCAGCCACTCTTAATCACTTGTCCTCAGGACACAGAGATTAGTGATAGCCCAAAAGCTGAGCTGCAGAGGATGAGAGCTTTCCCTTAGACTCAACCCAAAAAGATGAAGTGTGCCCTTTGTTCTCTGTTCCCAAGACAAGGCCACTTACCCGATGGTCCACACTGACTGTAAACAGAGGCGGGATGATGGAAACGTCCTCATTATTTCTCTGAGCCTATAAGGGAGATGATGGGGTCAAAAGGTGCTGGATGGGCTGCCCAGGTAAGGGAAAAATGAGCAAGAGACAAATGAGGAAGGAATCAGGGGCAGGAAGAAGGTACCCACTCCTGCTCCATGTAAACTAGAGGGCTGATGGTATAGAAGGGGACTAGAGTGATCAGGGTGAGAGGGCTACAGAAATGAGGCATGTCCTCCCTCCTTGGGGCCTCAGAGTTCCCAGATGATACTCACCTTCCTTAGGAGGCTGTAGGACTCTTCATCGAAGAATCTGACCTCATAGGTGCCCGCATGGGCGCTCTTATGCTCCAGGCTCCATGAAACCTGGTTAGGTGTTTGGCAAAGGGTAGGCATAGCAAATAAATGAAGGCTATTCTGCTACTGCTGGCACAGCACCACTATGAGCAATGCCTTAGTCTTTGGCCTATAACCCTGCTTTGAGCCATTTCCCCCACAACCCTGAATTCAGTATCCCTTACCTGATATCGGCCCACATCCTGGCCCCGGGTTACAGGAAATTGTTTTCCACTAACGTCGGCATAAAGAGCCATGTTCTGGATGGGGGAGGTGAGGACAATAGAACAAGAGTCATATTTTCCTCCCTTCTCTAGGCATACACAGAACCCCCATTGTGCTGCCCAAAGCAGTACCATGACTAGAAAAGTAGGCCAGTTGAGGGCTATATTGGTAGGGGTTGCCATAGAAGACCCAACGAAAGGGTCTGCCACAGCCCAGAGCCATGCTACGTCACAACCATGGATACTGTCACCATCTTCCTTCATGTTTTCCTAGAGGTGAATAGAGCTGGATCTCCCCTATGACCACCTTAACCTAACCCACAGTAAGTCTATTAGCTGTACACAGGGGTAGGATGACAAAAATGGCCTTGTGGTTTCTTGCACCTTGAGAGGTGCCAAATGAGGTGTTCAACCCTAAGACTATTGTCCCCCCAAAAGGTCCAATTTCTTTTAGATTTTTGGAAGAGCAGGTCAGGGGTTGAGGCTGGGGTTCTCAATTTTAAACTTACAGAACATCCATACAGACACACACTCAGGTAAACTGCAACCAGAAAGAAGATGGAGGGGCATGGGGCATGACCCTAGTTCTTTCTCCCGTTCCAGACATTCATCCAGGAAACAGTGGGGTGTCTACCCACATTACTGCATGGAGGCAAAGCATACCAAGCAGGTCAGGAAAATGCTCTTGAAGTACTTGCTAGGATCTGGCCTCGCTGTGCCCTCATCTCTCCTGCACCCTGTGAATTGGAATCCTTATTCTCCCTGTTGATAGGATCCTCAGGTCACTGTCAACTGCCAGTGAAGAGCACTGCCACCCTCATCTCTTCCCCTGCACCCTCTCTGCTGAGTCCCTGCTGTCTCACCTGCACCCTGTTCTTGCAAGTCAGTGAGATCTCCACGATGAATACGGTCTCTGTAGAAATGACGGCATCTGAGGTTGTATAGTAAGAAGGGGTGATCTGGGGCTCCAGGCAGGCCTCTGCTGTGGGAAGGAGGCAAAGCCAATTTGTGTGTTCCAGGCAAAAGGGCTTACCCTGGCTCTGCCTCTCAGACTTGGTGAGCTAAGGACACACAAATCCTTCTGTTCCTGACAGGAGGGGTCTGGAAGGTGGATCCTAGTACTCAGTCTGAAGTATAATGGAAGGGGCCAGTGAGAGATGTTGAGACAGGCTAGGGTGGGGTAGGGAAGGCTCTTCAGAGGTGAACCTTGAAGCAAAAACATGGAAGGAGCAGAAGTGTGTTTGAGGACAGCAGGGGAGCTGATTTATTGAATTAGTACATGAATCTAGGACCGGGAGGCCATGAAGCAGCTGAGCCTGGAGCACTCCAGAAGCCCAGTAGACCAAGATAGCCTCAATTCAGAGCCATGTACTGCCTCAATAGCTTACTACATTTTGCAGACACTAAGTGGGGTGCTGGCAACACACAGGACTTTCAAAATAAGGGTCTTGACAGGCAGTGGTGGTACATGCCTTTAATCCCAGCACTTGGGAGGCAGAGGCAGGCAGATCTTTTTAAGTTCAAGGCCAGCTTAGTCTACAAAGCAAGTTCCAGGACAGCTAGGACTGTTACACAGTGAATCCTTGTCTCCAAAAATTAAAAAAAAAAGGGGGGGGGCTCTACATCCAGCCAGCTGACAATGTCAAGAATGGTCCTAGTGTTTCCTGAGAGAAGTAAACTCTGGACCCAAACACCAACCTGTCCCTGTAAACTAAGCACCTCTGAGGAAACGTGGCCACAGGAAAAATAAGGGTATTATGTCACAGGGTATGAAGTAAACACTAAATGGGACAGTCCTCATCCAACTGTTCTCTAAATGTGATGTCTTGGAACCCTTCTGTGCCTTGCTAAGCTGGGCCTTTTTCCTGTGGACACCGTGGAGCCCCTAATAGGTTTTAGAGCCAGGTTTGTCTTTTTAAAACACTGCTAGCAACAGACCAGAGGAATCTCTGAGGTATGAGTAGGAAAGATGGAGGAAGGCTACCTGTGCTCAATCCAGGCTCTCAGGTCTGAGGTGCTCCTTTAACAACTTCCAAAAGACATGTCTAGATTCCAGGTTAAGCTCAACCCCACCACCAGGTGTTACAAATGGCTCAAAACTATCAATGGATCTGTGCACAGCTCAATTCTGCTATGAACCTTGGGATTGGATATACCAGGGCCTCATGGAATGTTCTGGGCACTAAAAGCTCCCTAACTTGCCTCGTGCACTTACTCTGCTCCTCTGCCTGGAGGGTCCTTGCTTCCTCTCTTAGATTTCTCTTGGGGAAGCCTGGCCTACACAGCATTGGTTCCTCTCTGCCGGCACTATTTCTCACACAGGGAATTGCCAGGTGCTGATAAGCACTGCTCTTGTGCGACTACCTTCTGACACAGGAACCAAGGACGTATCACCTTCCCGGCTGGAGCTGGTGGCCAGAGCATGGTGCGGCTTTGGGGCTCTCCCAAAAGCAGACAAGAAAGCATTTGACTGTTTCTTCCAGCAGCCTGGCTGCCGGGTAAACGGGTGTGTGCTGCTTCGGACGCCACGCCACAACACCCAGCAGGGGAAGATCCCAGTAGCGACGAGCCCCGGGAAGGGCCAGGCCCCTGCCTCGCGCGCACCCTTCCTCCCCCAGCACCACCTGCCATGGGACAGAGGCTCGCCCGAAACAAGCTCCGGCCAGGCCGCTACCTGAGCAGCAAGATAAGCCGGACAGCAGGAGTAGCGCCACGGCGCCGAAAGATGCCATCGCCGCCATCGCCTCTTCTCTGCCGAAGGGAAAAGAGAGCAAGCCGCCCTGAACATGCGGAGCAGACGAGGAAGCGCGACGCGTAAGCGGCCTCAGCACCCAATCGTGCGCCGGCGGGCTGGGCCGGGCCTGGTGACGTCGCTGGCGGCACTGACGTGTCCGCCTCCCTAGCCAGGGTCCCAACCGGTTCCATTTCCCTCCCCCCCCCCAAGATGGCGGCAACAGTGTTAGAGGCGCCGGAAGGGGGCGTAGGAACCGGTGAAACCGTGCGCGTGCGTAGTGCTAGCTTTTCGTACCCTGTATCCCCGACCTCTCGCAGGGCTGAATTCTCGCGAGAACAGTGTCTTAACGTTTTGACCTGTAGAGGTCCTCACTTCTCGTCATGGCGCTGAAGGTGGTGATAGCTGCTGGCGGTGCTGCAAAGGCAGTGTTCAAGCCAGCTCTCCTCTGCCGTCCTTGGGAGGTGAGTGGTGAATGGGCGGTGGGACAGCTGCAGCGCTCACTGGGGGACTTCACACCCCATTAAGACCAGGAGTCGGGTAACGGCCCTTTGAGCAACCTAGAGTTCAATTGGCTGTGTGGGCCTTATTAGGGGCGGGGAGAGGGCTGCACGCTGGAGTTCATTGGTCGCTTCTGCTGTCAGTGAGGAGGTTGGCCGAAGTTGTGGGGGCGGGGGGGGGGGGTCAGTGACTGGTGACAGGGGCTCCGGAAGAACTGGAAAGGTGGACCGCAGTGGCTGGGTGTCCCCTCCCTAGTGTCCTTGTGGAAGCCCTTTTGAAGAGGTCACGTGTCCTGGCCCTCCTTGCCCTTACCACCTAGGTTGGTGTCTGGTCCGCAGACTCAGTTCCTCCTTGGGTTTCCCTCTCTTGGACTGCTTTGTCACCTGTCCTAGTGGAGGTGGAGAATCAGCCTTTTCCAATGACTCTTGATTCCTCATACATTCTTATAGCTCCAGATCCGCTGCCTCCCAAGTGGCTTGACACTTGATTCTAGTCAAAAGGCCAACAAGCAAGCCCAAACCCCTGTAATGAGACTGAACCAGGATTCTGAGGCTGGAAGCCCCTGGGGCTTTGCTTCCTTGGATTTCTCTTTGGGGTCTTGGTTAGCCGGTTTAGCTCCTGGTTAGCACGACTTAGCGCCAGCAAGCCAACAACTAGCTCTGGGGAATAAGAGCTATGACCTCCAGGCCTTGCTCTCCCGCTGACCCAGAACATGGCGTTAGGCCAATTCTCTTCTCTCTCTGGGTTCCAGTTTCCCCTCTGTCCAGTGAGCAGAGAGGACTTCATGTTCTCAAAGCATTTGCTGACTCTGACCTTCCAGAACTCCATGTTGCCTGCAGCCCCTTCTACTTACTAGTTTCTCCCCTCTGTTCTCTGGGGGAGGAAGCTTCATATGCTTTATGAAATTCCATTTAAAATATGGACTTCAGCCGGGCGGTGGTGGCGCACACCTTTAATCCCAGCACTTGGGAGGCAGAGGCAGGCGGATCTCTGTGAGTTCGAGGCCAGCCTGGTCTCCAAAGCGAGTTCCAGGAAAGGCGCAAAGCTACACAGAGAAACACTGTCTTGAAAAAACAAAAAACAAAAAAATATGGACTTCAACTCCTCAACCTGCCTCATACTGGGCTTCTTTAATTGGACAACCTGGGTTCATGAGTGAGAACTTTGTAATCCCCTAAAAGAAACTATCCACATCTATATAGAGCAAGATCAGGGGTCTGTGTTTGGGGAGTTTTCTGGGACTGGGACAAAGCCCATTGTAACATCTGGCACAGGAGGCAGCTGTGGGACAGGTTCAGCCCTGACAGTGATATTGCCTTCCATGAGCAGGGCTTCATAGATTGTGAGCCACACCTGGTGCAGGCCCTTAGAAGGCTGGCTCACTGACACAGCTGAAGTCCAGGAGGAATTAAGTGCTGGGAGTACAAGGGTCAGCCTTGCATCTCCAAGTACACTAGCTTTGAACTAACTCTCTGACTGAGAAGCTGGTAGAGTGAGGGGTGGTGTACTTTAGCTTAGCTCCATCCTTGTGCTTGTGAACAACTTTGCGTACCTCCTCTTTGTTAAGCTTTCTAGCAGTTAAATAAAGTTGGTACCTCCATTCCATGGATTGACTGTTCCCTTTTATTTTTTTAAGCAGAGTTTCATGTAGCCCAGACTAGCCTTAAAATTGCTGTGTATATGAGGATAATCTTAAATTTCTGATCCTCCTGCCTCTCTTCCTAAGTGCTAGGACTACTGGTATATGCCACCATGCCTGGCTTCTATTCCATGGATTTTGATGTAGACACAAAGCCATTTTAAGAGTAGCAGATGGTGGATTTGGACTCAGATATCCATGGTCTCCATCTGTTTCTTTGTTTTCTGATGTACTTATTCACTAAGGAAATGTTCCTTGTGGTCCCAGCACTGGGCCAGGCACTGTGCTTGGTCTTGGAGTGACAGTGGAGGGTGAGACAAATGTGCTCTGTTCTCAGAGGCTAGGAAGAGAGCAGGGAGGTGATAATCAGGTAGAGTTATGTCTCTTAGATGAGTAGGGATAAGGTATAAGTAGAACTTAACAGCCCAGGGAAGGCTCCCAGGAGAAAGGGCTATCTATGCTACCTTCTGATAGAAGGCATGGAGACCCTGCAGACAAGATGAATCTGATATTGACAAGTACTAGAAAGAAAGCAAAGAAGTTCCAAGTATGCTGGTGGCTGCATATGTAGTGAGGGACCCTTGGGACTCTGGTCCTAGTAGTCAGCCTTCCTAGTTCTTGGCTTGGGCCACTGAGTGGCATTCCTGCATTGCTAGTGCCAGGGTTACTGGGCCTCTTGTAACTGGGACTAGGGTAACCCAGAGGGGAATGGTTAGACTCTGTCTGAGCCTTCTGGTCTTCTGGGAAGAAGGCAGGGCTCTTTAGAAAATGGTTATTGTGTCTCTGCTATTGGTTAGAATACTCTGCTACTGTCTGGTGGTTGAGTGGCAGAGAATCCTAAAGTTACAAGGAACAACTTAGCTGTACCATGCCAGTGCCTCCTCAGGTATTCCTAAGTGAGTGGGGCACAGTAGGAAGAGGAGGAAAGCTTTCCTGTGGAGCTGAGGATGTGGCCTCTCCCTTAAGAACAGTGGATGACTTCTTAGCACCTAGCTCATTTGGCCCAAACAGCTTTTTCTCTAAAGCTATTAGAGTATCACATGGCCAAACATGGCTGCTTCCCAGTCGTGAGATTGGGGACATTCGTCATCCATCCAGGATACACCACAAAAGCAGCTTGCAGTCCCTTGTGAGGGCCATCCTAGAGATTGGTATATGTTATTAGTCTTCCAGAAATGGCTGTGTTTTTCTAGGCATTTTTTATTTCTGTTCTGAAGGACCATTCCCTAGGGGTGACAGTGCTTATCCAGGGCAGTGGGGTACTATATCCTCTTTACCTCCCTATTTGCATTTATTATAGTGACTATGCACTGGCTTTGTAATAAGGAAAGACATAATAAAATTATTGCTCAGAGTTGGTGGCTTATTGAGAGTATCCTTTTGCAACATTTCAAATTTACCAGTCTTTTTTCTTGCACGTGTAGCAATAATTGGCCAACAGAGAATCAAAAGCCAATGCACAAATGGGATGGGGACATACAGTTCTATTTTTGTTTGGCTTTAGAGACAAGACCTCGCTCTGTCACCCTTGCTGGCCTGGAACTTACTATGTAGACCAAGCTGGCCTTGAACTCACAGAGATCTACTTGCCTCTGCCTTCTGGAGGCTGGGATTAAAACTACAATGCCGGGCCGGGGCATGTAGTTTTTATTATGCTGATCCACAGGAGAGTTAAGTATTGGGCCAACTTTGTCTGGTGCTCCTATGGAACAGTTGTTGGGAATGGAAGCTTTGGAATGTCCTATATACATGATGAACTGTTGTTTACTGATAATCATTTCCTCTCTGCCAAGAGCTAGGCTAGCTCTTTTGAACTTGACTTTTGGGATTGAACTGCTAACATTGGCATCTGGGTTCTCTTTGACAGGTTCTGGGTGCTAATGAGGCCCCCCGGAGGAGCATTTCCTCAGTAAGTACCTGCCTTGGATGTGTGTTTGCACAGGCACGTACATATACATGTGAGGGAGAGAGCTGTGCTCATGTATTTTGTGTGTGTATGTGTATGCATGAGTGCGCACACACATAATGTATATGAGACTGTGTGCACTATGTATATGTGCCCGTGCACACATGACTGTATGTTGCTCCCTGGCCCTCCTGTTCTTCCCTCTGAGGCACAGTCTCCAGAGGTCACTCACACCTCCCCTCTGAGTTATGCTAAACAGAGTCCCCAGGGAAAAGAACCCAGTTCCCTGGTCACAGCCTTGTTCTTCCAACCTTGGCTGATCCATGTCTTCTTCCTTTCTGTCTTCCCTCTAGCAACAAACAATTGTGAGTATTCTCTGAATTAGATTTGAGGGGCTCTTAGTTGCTTTGGGGTTAACCCAAGTCCAGGTGGGCTTGGGGTGGTGGTGGCTGCTGATCAGGAGCCCCAGAACAGCAATCTTGCCTTGGCTAGCCTGTGGGATTGGTACTGGAGGGAAGAAGGTAACTGGCTCAAGTCAGGATGCACATTGGTTGTACCCAAGGGCTCACTTTGACCCTCTCCCTTCTTCCAGCCTCCATCTGCTAAATATGGTGGGCGGCATACAGTGACTATGATCCCAGGGGATGGCATCGGCCCGGAGCTCATGTTGCATGTTAAATCAGTATTCAGGTATGGAGGGTCTGGATCTTCCTCCCTTAACTTCTCTCCCAGGGAGGGATGTTCCCCAAGCCAAGCTGGAAGCCCCCAAGAACTTCGTGCCAAGAAGCACAGGGAACCCAGAAGCCCACCAGCTGGTACTCTGCCCAGGTACCCAGTAGGGTGGTAGCAGGAAAGCCTGACTGTAAACCCAGGCCTTGCATCCCAATGTTTCTCATCCTGCTAGGCTGACCTGGGCACAAAGAAAGTGGTACCAGTCCTGTGAAGGTCGAGTATGACCCTCATGTTTGGCATGGGTGGGTCCAGTTCCCTCTTAGCTGGAGCCAGGTCAAGGTGGGAAGCAGCAGGGGAAAGATTGGTTGATATAGTCTTCAGGAGGGGTGTGGAAGGCCTTAGGCCAGCTTCTTTAGCCAGGCTTTACTGCAGGCATGCATGTGTGCCAGTGGACTTTGAAGAGGTACATGTGAGCTCCAATGCTGATGAGGAGGATATCCGAAATGCCATCATGGCCATCCGCCGGAACCGTGTGGCCCTGAAGGGTGAGCCCAGGGGCCAGGTTGGGGTGCTATATGTGATTCCTTTTGCCTATATACTGACTTTTGTGGATTCCCGTGGTTCCAATTTCAGGGATTTTTCTGGTTATTGATGACTCTTGTTCTTGGCATCTGGGTAGAGGCTTCTGTGGGCCTGTTGATAGCATGGTTCTGTTATTTCAATGGCCTGTGTGAGCTTGCTCAGTGGCTTCCTCCCACCTCTTCCTTCACTGAGGCATGCCTCTGCTGGGATCTGCTTTGACCCACAGCTTTTCTTCACAAACTAAAGATCAGAGATGTAGTTTGCTACATCTGCAAGATCTGCTTGCTGCCCTGGCTGCAAGTGGCATAGTCATGGACATTATACATAAGGACTCTAACAATATTTCCTGGGGTTTGCCTTGGTTGGGTGCACAACCTTAAACTAATCAATCACTCTATGAAGTTTAACCCATCCACCGCTCTGTGGAGGAATATGTTGGCATTGAATGGGTCTTACATGAACCACAGGGTGCCATAAACACTCTGGGTGAAGTCAGTCTGGGCAGGGAACAACTTGGAAGTAGGGGACAGGTGGTCCTGATGGGCTGTCAAAAAAGGCTTTTCTTTTTTTTTTTTTTTTTAATTTTAAATTTTAAATTTTTTTTTTATACTTTTAAAACTAAAAAAGGCTTTTCTATTTGGTGTGGTCTAATCACCTTCTATCAGATACTATCTCACTGGCCTCACTGGGCCTCTTTTTTCCTTCCTCTAGATATCTGGGCCATTCTGGCCAAGACATGCTATGGCCTAGTTGGGGCCTTTTTCAGGCAGCCTCCACCTGCCCCTGAGCTGGGCATGGATAGCACCTCACTTTGGGGCCTGGCAGTAACTTTGACCAAGGTCATCTTGTTGGTCCCAGTGTGGCTAGCCAATTTATTCATAAACAAAAATGGTCACTCTGTGGAGATAGCCTGGGTAGTAAGTGGCAGGATGTCCTGGCTAGCTGTCAAGCTTATTTATTAATTTATTTAGTAAATATTTATTGAGTGCCTACTATGTGCCAGGTGCTTGTCAAAGTTGTTGAAACTCATCATGAAACTCATCTCTCTCTCTCTCTCTCTCTCTCTCTCTCTCTCTCACACACACACACACACACACACACACACACACACACGTGCACGCACAGGTACTTGTCAAAGTTCTTGAAACTCATCATGGGTCTCTGTCTCTCTCTCTCTCTCTCTCTCTCTCTCTCTCTCTCTCTCTCTCTCTCTCTCTCACACACACACACACACACACACACACACACAGGCACGCACACAGGCACGCACATATGCAGGCATGCACATACACCCCTTCGAACCTCATGGAGCTCACAATGGCAGTTACAACCTAGAGTTCAAGGAAGTATTTCTTCTCCAGTTCGATCAACCTTTGGTGAACATTCCCTAGGCCAGGTGGGGGGATATGGCAATGCAGTTGAGCCCAGAGGATCCCTCTCTAACTTGCCTATCTTGTTTGTTTTTGTCCTGTAGGCAACATTGAAACAAATCATAACCTGCCACCATCCCACAAATCCCGAAACAACATCCTTCGGTGAGAGCCTTGTACATAGAGTGGTGGTTCAGTGAAGACCAGGGTGGGCTGTGCTGGCTTTCATGAACCTGGCTAGTTGCTAGTTGGGTCTGGTTTGATTTTCTCCCTGTTACGCTCTCAGCACCAGCCTAGACCTCTATGCCAACGTCATCCACTGTAAGAGCCTGCCAGGAGTGGTGACCCGGCACAAGGACATAGACATCCTCATTGTGCGGGAAAACACAGAGGGAGAGTACAGCAGTCTAGAGCATGAGGTAGGCAAAACTACTTGATCCTCTATGAGTAGGTGGTGATGATTATAGCCAAGGTCAGAGTTGAGAGCTTCAGAAACAAGGAAAAGGTGTCCCCCACTTAAGGGGTTGGAAAAGCCAGATATACTCAGTGATAAGGCTGCATCATGTGGTACTCCCATTAAGCCCTTTGTTGTCCCCTGGCCTCTTCTCAGAGCGTAGCAGGAGTGGTGGAGAGCTTGAAGATTATCACCAAGGCCAAGTCCCTTCGAATTGCTGAATATGCTTTCAAGCTGGCCCAGGAGAGTGGGCGTAAGAAAGTGACAGCTGTGCACAAGGCCAACATCATGTATGTTTACTCTATACCTTTCTACCTACTTTGAACAGCTACAAAGTAGCTGGAAGGGCCTGCTCAGGTCCACCTTCAGGGTCTAGGGTATCAGGGGCCACACTCAGGACTGTATTCTGTTGTCCCTGAGGCTCTGTATCCTCTAGTGAATTCCTAGAAAAGGTGAGATAGATGGGATTATGTTTGTTTTTCCATATGGAAGACAGGTTACAAGTTAGTCCACAGGGTTCCATGGTTCTTTGTACTCTCCAGCTGACTATAGTGAGAGGCCAAGCTGGTGTCTTGTATCCCCCGTTATCTAGGAAACTGGGTGATGGGCTCTTCCTCCAGTGCTGCAGGGAGGTGGCAGCCCGCTACCCGCAGATCATCTTTGACAGCATGATTGTGGATAACACAACAATGCAGGTAATCAGCCCATCTGGCTCCATAGCCTTCCGCCCACCCTTGGTCTCATGGCTTATACAACTCAGCTCACTTCTTTTCCCACAGCTGGTATCCAGGCCTCAGCAGTTTGATGTCATGGTGATGCCTAATCTCTATGGTAACATCGTCAACAACGTCTGTGCAGGGCTAGTTGGAGGCCCGGGCCTTGTGGCTGGGGCTAACTACGGCCACGTGTATGCAGTATTTGAGACAGTGAGTATCCAGGCACAACTCTGCCATCTTTTTCTTTCTCTTATAGTAGCCTTGTGTCATAGTTATTATCCCATGGTGGCGTTTACCCATTGGTACTGCTTAAGACTAAAAGTTTCTAAAGGAAACACAGACCCATGACTGTTATGAATTATTATTATTATGTGGGGGAACCCTAAGGGTATCCCGTGCGTGCAGGGAAACGGTGGCCAGTGATACACGATGCATCCACATGGAGAGTTTATTATAATAGAGGGATAAAGAGGCAGAGAGACAGGAAGAGGGAGACAGAGGGGGTGAGGGAGAGGGGGTTTGAGGGGTATACACCTTGTGAGAGTGAAGCGGAAGAGGAGAGAGAGAAGAAATGGGTGGAGTTTTTCCTTAAAAAGAGACTTTTACGTTAGGACACAGGATGGCGCCAAGGGATGGGATCAGAATATTAACAATGAGCATCCCCATTTCCTCTCCAAAGCCCTGATATGCCTTCATTTGCTGTGTCTGGGATATGCCTCTACTGGGTATGGCATACAAGTAGAATCATCTGCCGTGCATTCTTACATTTTCCCACCTACCTACTTCTTCCCTTTTCCAGGCTACAAGGAACACAGGCAAAAGTATTGCCAATAAGAACATTGCTAACCCCACTGCCACACTGCTAGCAAGTTGCATGATGCTAGACCACCTCAAGTAAGTGGCTTCTTAATGCCTGGTCATCAGTCCTCTCGCCAGCCTCTAGGTCCTGAGAACCAAAAGCTTGTTCTCTTCATCCTCTAGGCTCCACTCCTATGCCACCTCCATCCGCAAAGCTGTCTTAGCATCTATGGACAATGAAAATGTAAGGCTCCTCTTGTCTCCTCTTTGTCCCACTTCTAGTTTCCTCTCCTCTAGTCCATGTTATACTGGTCTGACCAGTCCTATATGCTTCAGGCAGTGACCAGCACTGGCTGTGGCCTGTAAGGGAAGGGTGGTACTGGCTTCCTGGTGCCAGTTCCTTGCCCTTTCCAACTATAGGAAACAGTAGGTAGCCCTGGACCACCATGGGGTTGTGTGGCAGACTTTGGCCTGATATGTTCAAGCTTCCTGTTTTCCTCCAGATGCATACTCCAGACATTGGAGGCCAAGGTACTACATCCCAAGCCATCCAGGACATCATTCGTCACATCCGCATCATTAACGGCCGGGCTGTGGAAGCTTAACTATCCTTGCAGTTATCTCAGCCTATCCATAGGACCCTCTTCTCACTCTAGCACTCCAGCTAGCATGGTGAACAGGCTCCAGAATAAAGCTACTTCTGCCCCAGAACTTGGCCATGTGCTTCCCTCACGCCAAGACACCAGTGTTTCAGTTCCCACTTTTATTAAGAAAGAAACAGGCACTTTTTCCCACTCAGGACCCTCTAGGAGGATCACAAGTAGACAGGCTGAAATGTGGGCTTTGCCTCAGCATTTCTGTCCTGCCATGGAGAGGGGGTGAACACAATAGCACCCAGTAGGGTGGGAGAACAGCTCCCACAGGGTGGTAGAAGTTGCCTGCTTTCCCTCAAGGCACTGTGAGCTAGGGCAAAGCCAGCACAGCCCCTGCTGTCCACAGCTCCAGCAAGATCTAGGGATTAAGCCAGGGGTGCTGGAGGCAGTCGGCAGCACTGGCCCTCTTCTCAGGGATGTACTCCATCATGGGCAACAGGAAGGCGCTGAACTGTGTGGCTTGCTCCAGGGGCCACTCATACTTCTCCATGAGCACCTCATATAGGCCCCAATGCTTGAGGTTATGGATGTGGCGCAGCTGTCCTGGAGGGTGGGCAACATTAGGCTGTGTCTCCAGGTAGGCTGGCACCCAGTGTTCTGTCAGAATCAAGGTCCTTGTCCTCCCCTCTGCTCTCCTAGCCCCTGTGGCCTAAGCCTACTTGGTCCCTACCCCTGCGGTTGAAGAACTCCCGTGAATAGCGGCCTGAGAGGGCAAAAGCTGGGGGGATGTCTCCCAGAAGCTCCACGATATGAGCAATGTGGTCTGTAGGCAGAGAGAAGGTTGGGAGTCAGAGTGGGGGCAGCTGGAGATCCTAAAGCCAAGGCCAGGGTTTGCCTCCCTTACCTTCATCACGACTGTAATCTTCTCCAGAGTGAGGCTCAAACAGGTAGTCGCCAGTGGCCAGCTCAAAGGCCTGGAAGAGAAGGGAGAAGTAAGGCTGTAGCAGATGGCTGGCCCTAGGCATGGAGGCAGCTGGACTAGCATACCATGCATGCTGTGCTCCAGATGTCAGCTGGGGGGCCATACTCAGCACCAATCAGCACCTCCACGGCCCTGTACTGCCGAGTCTGAATGTCCTCGGTGAAGTGTTTGTGCTGGAGGAAAAGGGAACCCTGGGAACAGGAGCCTGGGACCAGGCTAACCTGCCCCCACAGCCCATTCCTGCCTCTGGTCCATGCACCTGAGCTTCATGGAGCTCACTTTGATTCTTAAGAGTTCCCCAGATGTTACAGGAGGGACTGTCTAGGTGACCTGAGGGTGACCTAGGTGACCCCTTCTTAGTGGCTCATGTCCCTTGCCATGGGTATAGGACTCTTCTACTTGAGCAGCAAGAAGTAGCTCTCAGCTATACTCGAGAAGACTGCTGGCTATGTGAGTCCTAGGCTATGCCAGAGGCCTAGGGTAGGGCTCCCCAAGACCAAGCACCCTGTCATCCCAAAATGTTCAGCATACCACCCAGCAGGCATTGCCCAGGTCTGCAATCTTGATCTTGATCTTGTCTGCATTTTGGGGCTCCAGGGGGTTCACCAGGAGGTTGGAAGCACCAAATGGTGCTGGGGAAAGGAGAGAAGGAAGAGAGACTGATCTGGCCCTGCTCTTCCTGGTCTTGCCTGTCCACTGCCCACTGTTCCCCACACTTACTGCTAGGAGACAGGAGACCTCCAGTCTCACGCTGATTAGATGACCCTGAGAGGATGGAGCAGGAAGCCGTGGAGAACAGAGACCCTGAGAAACCTGAGGTCTGTGAGCTGGGACTAAGGCTGCGGTCACCCCCAGGCACAGGGGAAGAAGAGGCTGGAGAGGGGCCAGCCCTGGTGCCCTCTGGGTGGCAGCCTGAAGAAGAGGTGGAGCCGCTGCCCTGCTCTAATCTTGAGCCAGAGTCTGGGGAAAAGGGGCAGAAAGACACATGAGCAGAGGCCTGGATTCCACATGCATGCTTAGTGGCCCAGTGCCCTCTCTGGCCCCTCACCCTCAGCCTGTACTGCATCTTCCATGGCCTCCAGCCTCTGCAAGTCCTGCAGCCGCTCCTCCAGCAGCCACTTCTGTTGCTTCCTTTTGCGCCTCATCTTCTTCCTCTTGTTTTTGGACAGCTTACCAGTCTGCCACCAGAGTCAGGGTCATCTCCTTGGTTTCCCTGCCCAGCTCTGGACCCCAGAACTAACTCCTTATGGGTGTGAGAAAAATGGTGCTACTACCTTTTGTCTCACCATTAGTCTCAGCCCTTCATCCATTTCTCTGCCTCTCCTCCTATCCCTCTATTCCCTAAAGCTTTGTGGTTTGGGGAGAACCTGGTGGCCTGCCAAAATTGCTCCTCGTCCACTCCTAGCTTAAATGAAGCGACCTGAAGTAGCCATTTGGGGAAGGCACAGTATCCTTCCATCAAGGTGGTAGTGGGCCCAGGAGTCACCCGAGGCAGTTTGGAGTACATGACCCACTCTGTGTAATCACTCTTTTCTTAGGTACCCAGCTTTTTAGAGGTGCCACTGCAGAAGTTCAAAAGGTGGAACAGATGTGGCTGAAGAGCCAAGCTCTGAGGACATGGCCTAATCTGGCTTGAATGGGAAAAGGAAACAGGGAAAGAGAGGGTGCCACAACTTACCAAGACCTCCTGGGGGGCGGTGCTAACTGGGGGTAGGGGTTGGGGAGAAAAAAAGGAGTAGTAATTCAGGCAGGGATTGAGGCCCAGAGTCCTGGTGCCAATCCCCACACATGCTCTTGGTACCTGTGGAGCGGGATGGGGGCTGGGCCCCTGACTGCTGCCACTCTGTAGCTTCAGCAGCCAGGCGCCTAATGTAGGCATCTCCAACACACAGAAGGATGTTCTCAGGCTTGATGTCCGTGTGGATGATCTTGCACTTAGTATGGAGGTAATCCAGACCATGTAGTACCTGGTGAAAGCTACAGCTGAACCCCAGCAGCCACACCCAGCCAAGCTGGGCAGCCTGAGGCAGCACCTACCTGCCTAACAATGCTCTTAACACAGGGCACAGGCAGACCCTGGTAGTTGGACTTGATGATCCACTTGAGGAGCTGGTGGCCCAGGACCTCTAGCACCATGCACACATCTGGACTTGGAGTGAAGGGCAGCCAGCAACACAGCTAAGGCACAGGCTTACCTACCCTCCACCATGGAGGAGCACCTAGGCTCCAGCGGTGCAGAGGTCAAGGAAGCAGGACTTGCCCTGGACCATCATGGTGGCTACCACTGTCTCAGTTTATTATTTATAGTGTTTCTGTCACCGGCAAAGATGTGCCAGTTGGGATGATACCTTTTGTCATCCTAGTGATGCCTCTCAGACCAGCCTTACTCTTCTGCCCAATTGTTCCAAAAGGCCTCAAAAGCAGCCTTTTATATTTGGGTGTCACTCAGCAGCATCCACAGATAATCATTGTCCACCTAGCTACCTGTCCCCTACTCAGAAACACAAATGCCCAAAGGGCATTTTGGTATTGCATCACGGGCTATCCCTGTAAGAGCTGAGTCCCATGGTACAGACCAGAAATCTGAGGTCCTTTGACTGCCATATTGCTCATCCTTCAAAGGATACGGACTCCATTAACTCCTGAGATCCTGAAGTCATCAATGAGCTGAACAATGGTCTCTCTTTTGGGGTCACTAGGATCACTGTCCCGGACCTGGAACAAAAAGGCAAGGAGCCACAGATGGCTCCAACCTGCTCCTCACCAGCTGATCAGCTCCCCTGAAGCACTTCTGGTCCCCTTTCCCAGTCCAGCTGAGGCCCACTTAAAGAGAGGCAGCTGCCTCTTTCAAGTCTCTGCCCTCCAGGTCCTCTTACTTGGCAGAGCCAGCTGGAACCTGCCCCCTCTGGGAGCCCTGCCCCACTCTGCAGGCCCTGCATCCACATTGCCAGGCCCAAGGCAGTTGAGAAGCCAGGAACAGTAGGGGAGGTGCCTCACACATTTCAGGAGCTTGATCTCATCCACAGCTGTCTCTGTGTAATGCCCTGCGCTCTTCACTACTTTCAGGGCCACGAAGCGCTTGCGCCTGTAAAATGGAGACCCTCATAGGCTGCCAGCCTTTGTCAGACTCACATGGTCATCATGGTGGTGGCCTCAACCAAACCCACAGGCAGATCCCAGCCACTCACTGAATATCCCAGCAGAGCCAGACCGTAGAGAAGTGGCCCCAGCCTAGCTTGCGCACCACATGGTACCGCCCATTGAACAAATCACCTATCTTCACTGGGTAGTAACCACCTGCAGAAGGAGGCCAATAGATCAGAGTAGGACATCTCTCTCCCCTATCCCTCAAGATAGCCTGGTCCTGCTGATCATCTGTCTGAGGGCCCTAGTCTCTAGGCACCTTCTTCCTCCCAGGCTGCCCTGAGCCCCTGCAGTGGTAATCTGGCTGACCATGTGGCAGCCAAGGTCAGGCCTTACCCTTGCAATAATCCTTGGGGTCTTCCTGCTCCTCATCATCAGAACCCAGGAGCCCCTGCAGCAACCGAGGTGCTGGTGTGACTGGAGCTAATTCAGAGCCTGAGGACTCAGGCCCACAGGAAGTCTGAGAGCTGTGAGTGAAAAGGGAGGATGCAGGTAGTGAGCTCACAAGGTGCAAAGGACCTCAGTCTCCCCAGCCTGGTCATACCTGCTGCTGCTGCCACCACAGTCCACACCACCACTACCACCAGCACTGGCACTCATCCTGGTGTCGCAGCCCAAAGCTCTGGTGCACTGGACCACTGTTCCTGTGGGGCTCAGCCGTGGCCAGTGCATTTATAGCCTCTGCCGCTGATCTCACCGCCTTTATAAATAGCCTCCCAGCTGCTCAGCTGTGGACAAGGTATGCAGCATAGGGAGGGGGCAGTGCACCAATGGCAGCCCTGGAGAGCCCAAACCCTAGGCAGAACCCCTTTGTTTCATCCACACTCTAGAGACAGAGGGCCACCAAACTGGGATTATAGTAGTGACTCAGTCCCTAGGTCAATTCCCCACAGTCCAGGACCAGCCGAAGAAAACATCTACATGGAGATGGAGCAGTCTGTAGCTCCTGCACCCTAGGGCTGTGGGGAAAGGAGGCTCCTATGAAAGAATGTAGTTGACATGGTGACCAGATCCTTAGGCTGAGCTCTCTCCAAATGCTGCATGGCACTTGATACATTCTTGAACTTCCCACTACCATGTGAATATTCTTCTAGAGGTGACCCCTACCAATCCCATCTGAACCTCACTCTTTGCTCATTCTCTGCCCTGATTCCAGCTTTTTTTTTTTTTTTTTTGTAATTCGCAGACCTCCCCCGTACAGGTGGGAGCCCAGATCACCCCTAAATGTGGCTGAGCAAGGGTCAAGGGCAAGAGTTAAACGCAATTCATTCTTCCTATCAGAGGCAACAGGCCCCTCAGATCACCATTGACTTGCATAGCCTCCTACCCCTAGCTCCAGAGCTAGCCACCTCTGCCTTGATGACATTTGCTGGTACCTGCTGTGGGCCAGCTTTGCCATGTCCACCAGGAAAACAAAAACCCTGCAGTTGCTGACCATAAGCTGGGAAGTAACTGAGGGATTAGGAAGCATTAAGTTCCCAGAAACATTCAGAGCAACACAGGCACACTGGAGACTGCCATGTGCTGGCATGCTACAAAATTCTAGGACCAGGGAAACAACTGAGAACCTCATCTGGAGTTTATGAGTATCACTGGGGAGTTCCAGCAAAGTGGACAAGTACTTTTGCTCTTTAGAAACTCAACTCTGGGACTTGGGAGAGTCTATTCAGTTGGCGAGTGATGCCCAGTATGTATGAAGCCCTAGGACTGATCCCCAGCCCTTCATAAACCAGTTGTGGTGGAATGTGCCTGTAATCTCAGTACTCAGGAGGATCAGAAATTCAAGGTCATCCCCAGATACATAGCAAGTTTGAGGCCAGTCTGGGATGCATAGGACCTTATCTTTAAAAACAAAAATGGGTTGGAGAGATGGCTCAGTGGTTAAGAATACTGGCTACTATTGTCCAAGTTCAATTCACAGCACCCACATGATAGCTCACATATTTGTAACTCCAGCTCCCAGAGGATCTGATACCCTCTTCTGGCCTTCCTGGACATCAGGCACACAAGGGAGGTACAGACATACATGCAGGCAAAACATCCATATACATACATTAAAAGAGTGTGAGAGGGAGTGAGCCCACTCTAATTGCTTCTACATGAGAAAAGGGGGGCAAAAGTGAAGCTAGGAGGCCAACCAGAAACTTCTGATGGAAGTGGAAGGGGCTTGGCAGTGGCAGTGCTTATCCCAAGGTAGGAGACACTTTATCCAGTGTCCTATGATTTAAAAAAAAAAGAAAAGAACTGGTGGGGCTGGAGAGATGGCTTAGAGGTTAATAGCATTGGCTGCTGGCTGCTCTTTCAGAGATCCTGGATTCAATTCCCAGTAACCACATAGTGGCTCAAAACCATCTATAGTGAGATCTGGTGCCCTCTTCTGGCATCTAAGCATACATTCAGGCAGAACACTGTATACATAATAAATAAATAAGTCTTAAAAAAAAAAAAAAGAACTGGTATGGATGGGGCTAGCATAGATGGAGAGGACAGCCTCCCTGCCGGGTTTGAGAGGTCAGGAAATGAAGGACAGAGCAAAGTATGGAAGGATTAATTACTTCTTTCCCCAATGATGGCAGATTACAACCATTGGACCAAGGGCAAAGGTGAACAGACGAAAGGCTTGTAGAGAAGCCCTGTGCAGAGTCTGGGTGTGTCTGGGGAGTAAACCCTGGTATTGGGAGAAGTAGCATCCTAGATCTAGAAGGTGGAGATGCAGGTTGTTCCCCCACAACCCTTACTCATGCCTCTCACCTTAGCCCCAGGGAGTACTGAGAGTTCACACTCGGCAGGGAAAGGCAGGGGTGGTGGATTAGGACTGGTTTTTTTTTTTTTTTTTTTTTTAGATTTGTTTCTATTTTATTTCCAGATGTGATTTTCCAGCAAGCAAATAAATACAGTGGGAAAGATGGTAGGGATCATTATAAATTAGAAACAAGCCAGATGGGTGGTGGAAGGCACTCTATATAGTCCTGCTGACCCCTCCTCAGGCACTGCTTGGTCAGGGACATACAGCACTTTAGTGGTGGATCCTGCCCACTGTTCTATAAGTTGGCAGGTCTCAGGTAACCACTGTGGCTCTCGTTCACAAGTCAGTCACTTTGTTCTCCACCAGGGCAGCGATCTGCTGCAGGCGGCAAGCCAGCTGCATCTTCTGGGTCACGGGGTCCTCCTCCAGGGCACTGATAATCTGTCAGGGTAGTAGAGTGTACCTGCCTGAAATCCCACTCCTCTGCCCAATAGACCAGGGCTATCCAGTCCTTTCTCCATCACAACAAGGGCCTGGGTGATAGAGTAGGGGCTCTCCTGGAGACCTGCCCAGGGAGGTCCTGGTGAAAACCAGGACTACCTCCCAGCCTGGGCCCTTCCAGCACATGATGGCTCCCTTCCTTCATTCTCTTTATCTGGATTGGGCCACCCCCAACCCTATCTTCCCATCAGGGAGGTTCTGTGGGTCATTGTTTTAGCTACACCTCCTCCAAGTGCCTGCCCGCTCCCCTCAAGAGTGCTCTGGCCTCACCTGGTCATAATACCTGTGGATGTGGTTGTAAAGTTCTCGAAGAGCCTCCAGACAGTGGGGAGCAGAGGTGTAGTTCTATGAGTAGCATGTGGAGGGCAGTGAGTATCTTATTCCAGACCTCAAGACCCAAGGCTCTCCACTCCTACTCTGCCAGTTACTCTCCCCCTAAATGTGGAGGACTAGGTCCCCTGGGCCATGCCTCACCCCAGAGAGTTCAGCCAGAGCTGAGTTCATCTCCTGATAGCTCGCTGGAGAGCTCTGGTGAATGTCTGCATAGTACCTGGAGAAGTCAGCAGGGTTAGGAGCCTGTATCTCTGATCCCCAGCCCCAAAGGCTCTGATACCTACTTCTCCACCATCTTCTTGTATCGAGGGATCTCCCGGGCATAGAGCAGTTTGTTCACTGGGGAATCCTGCTCCAGGAAGAAGAGATGAGAAGTATAAACAGGGAGGTAGGAGAACCACCTGTACCACTTCCATGACGCCATCCCTCTCAGCACCCAGGCTCTGCACTGGGTTTCCCCACAAACTTTTCTTCTATTTGCCTCCAGTGGCCTGCTTATGCCCTCACCCTGCCCACTTTATGCTCCGAGACCATGCAAGAGTCGATGAAGGTCTGTGCAATGACAGCCAAGATGGCATCCTCGTTGTCTGACACCCGCACATCAAAAATGAGCTGTGGGTTCTTCAAGGCATTCACCCAGAATCGCAGCAGTAGGCTGTAGGTACAGGTAAGGTGTGGAGATGAGGCCTGGCCTGCTGTTGTGGCCTCCTCCCCTTGTACTTCAGCTCCCCACTCCTCCACATAGATGTCTGTCCTGAAGCTGGGGACCTAGGCAGCAGGGAACTCAGGCTTTGTTTTCCATGAGAAGCTATCCTCATGGCCCAAGTGACCTAAGCTTGGACTCTCCTATTATTAGTCCAGGCTGGGGAGTGAGGGCAGAAACTCAGGATGATGCTGTAAAGTCTGAGTTCCCGTCTTGGACTTGCTACCCTGTCATGATGAGATCATGTCCCTCTGAAATTCAATAGACCACCAACACAGTGGGAAGGAGAGGGGTCAACAGGAAAGGTACCTGTTTGTCTTCCAAATGTGCAGGGTCTCTGGATCCTCTATGCCATGTTTCTCTGCCAGCTCATCCAGGAAGTCAAATAGGTACTTAACAGCAATAGGCACAGGCCGATTCACGCTAAGAATGGCCTGGAAGGTGTCATCCACAAACTTCTGCAAGGTTCTCTGCAGGCAGGTCATGAGGACCATATGAAGGCAGGGTGTGAGGGGGGCTAATCCCTGCTTCATCAGAACCACACCTCCTCTTCAACTCAGTCATAATTCCTTGACAACCCTGTTCCATTGCCTGGCTCCCCTGGCAGCACCAACCTTCATTGAAAGTAAACGGGTGAGATAGATTTCAGGAATGGCCTTGGCTCCTGCCCGTTCTCGTTCTCGTTCCCGTTCCCGGAGGCTGCTGCACTGCACTTTGGCTCCTTCTGACTCCTCAGTGGCCTTCACCAGGTGCCAGAGCCGAACTCCACCCTCCTCACCATCTTCCAGCATGGGGATGTCTAAGAGCACAGAAGCTTGGCCTCAGTCCCATGCTTCTGCCCTCAACATGCAACCTAAGATATGCAGCCCATACTTCTCCTGGGATGGAGTTGAGGAAAGAGAAAGGAGGGAGAAAGTATGGGACAAGGGAGAGGTGGTTCAGGAACTTGCTCATCCTGACATCCCTTGCATCCAGAATTTCCACAACTTGGTTCAGCCTAGAGATTTGGCTATCCCACTGGCAAGGAGGAGTAGGAAACCCATATGAGGCAGATAGGATGGCCAGGACTTCTGCTGGCCCAGCCTGGGGTTCTAGTGAATCTAACCCTGGGTCACCCCAACACTGCTGGTGCTCCTGGCAGATGGGCATGTCTGGACCAAGGGACTCACTCTCTCCAGAGGGGCAGCCAGTCTGGCCCAGTCTCTGGGAGACAGTGTCACCATTGTGCAGCTGAGGAATGAGCACCACTGTTGCTCCATCTGGGACCTGCAGATGGGGAATGAAAGCAAAGGGGCTCCCTTCACATGTTAATTCTGGAGGCAGTCCCTGCCCATCAACCTTGTCTTGTTGCTGCCCATTAGCACCTTGTAGTGTTGCAGGGTGTTGAGTCTCTTCCAGTGGTTTTGAGTCACGGAGGTCAAGTCCTCATCTGACAGGGTTAGGTGACCAGCTAGTCCTGAGCGCCACTCTAGAGGGACTCAGAGAAGCCCATAAGCCCACAGCCTGCTTCTTGAGTTCCTTATTAGCAGTAGCTGAGCAACTGCAGGTGTGGGAGGAGCAGTGGGTGAGCAGGGAGTAAGGCTGGCTTTCTCACCAAGGTCTAAGGAGTGCACTGAAGGCCTCTGGGAGAAGGGGGTTCCCTTGTAGACTTGATCTAACATCTTCTCCTTGACTTGGGTTATGGTGTCTGTGTCAAGCACCCGGGCTGGCATTCGCTGCACCTCGCTGCTCCCTGCTACCCCACAAGACTCAGGTCCCACTAGTGCCATCAAGGTCAAGGGCTGGAACTCCACATCCTCTCGTAGCAGATGGCTATCATTCAGAGTTCGTTTTGCTTTGCCTGTCACAGCGTCCACAGGGCCCTTGTCCACCTGGTACTTGATGGCCCGGAAGAGCATGTACAGTGGCTCACCAGCCACTTCCTACAACCGTTAAGATGTGCCAGACATTGGTCACAGGGCTAGTGGACCCAGTAAAGCCCAGCAGAGGGCATAGTGGGACTGGGAGGGGTAGTTAGCAGCCTACAGCAAGGATTAGCAAAGGCCAGCCAGCTAACACAGGCCCCTGGGCTGGGCCCCAAGCCCTTTTTGTCCCTGCTTAACAGTCAGCTGGAGAAGGAGCACAATGCCTTCCCTTATCCAGCACTCTTGTCCTAGGCCTCTCATGGATCCATCAAGCAGAGAACAGGATCTCATGACCTTCATTTGATGACCCACCCTAAGCCTCAGCCAGGGGTCCTGGGGAATTTGGGCAGCAGTTATGGAGACCACAAGCAGGCAGAAGTTTCTAAGTGTTGGGGAGACATGTTGGAAAGTGCCCCTCACCTTTAAGAAGTCATAGAGACAGATGGATAGCCAGTTGGTGAGCAGCTTCTCTACCATGGTCTCTGTCCTGTGTGAAGGAGGCCCCAGGGCCCTGGTGAGGATAATCCTAAAATTCTCTCTGACCCCATTCCTAGAGTTCTTGGCTCCTGATCTCAGGGCCAGATCCCACTCAGCATATATTGGCAATGGATCAGAGATGAGCCCCTGTCCCTGCCCCCACACCCAGGTCAAGGCCAACCTGCGTAACATGAGCTTAGGGTTCTTGTGTACATAATGGGCTGCTAGGTCACCAAGCAGAGTTCTCAGGATGTCGGTCAAGTACTCAAGCTTGCTGTGCAGAGCCAGGGAAATCAGTGAAGCCACATGGCAGCGGTCCCTCTGGGAAAAGTTTGGCTGCTCCTCCAGAGTGTGGATGAGCTAGGCAGGAAGTTGGTATTCACTCCACAAAGCCCCATACCCTCCCTATTCTGTGGCCATGTCCCTACCTGTGTCTGGCCAGTCCCCAGCCCCACCTCCCTACCAGCTGAGACTCCCCTGCCCTGCCTGTCCCCACCATCCATGTGGCTCTCACTGTGAGAAGGAAGGGCTTGCTGTTGAGCACATTGGAGAGTTGTGTGAGGCCCTGGTGCATAGTGGCACAGCGACCCTCTTCCCCAGGCCCTTCAAGCTCTGGCTGCAGTGGGCAGCCACCATGGCCGGGGAAGAAGGCACGCTCAGCATATGTCCGGTAATCCAGGAAGGGTATCCCACTGGCCTCTAGGTCACTGGTGAGGTCTGTCATCTCAGTCATCAGGTCTGCAGGCCAGGACCCATAAAGATGTGGGTTCAGGCCTGGTGGATTCCCTGTCCTCCCACCTGTACCCCCACACACCTGTGAACTCCTTGCGACACTGGTCACCCACACCAGTCTCCAGGTTCTCCAGCTGCACCAGCACCTTCTGATAGTCTCTCAGGGCCTGCTTGCTCTTGTGCCTGGAACCAGAGGTTAGGCATCAGCCACAGGCCCAGACTAGGATGGCCTCTGGCCTGGGGCCTGCCATGGGAAATTTGCCCACATGTGCTGAAGAGGGAGCATCCTCACCTGTACATGAGTGTGAGGAGGAGCACCGCAGCAATCAGCACAGTAGCACCCAGGCCCAGGCCCACCTGGGCCTCCACAGGAAAGGTGGACATCGTGGGCTCTGCTTCATACTGGACAGGGCCCAGAGCCAGGCGCACATTGCCCATCTGCACCTGGGGGAGCAGGGCTCCTGAGCATGGGCCTACAGCATGCTGGCCTTCCACCAGGGGCACACACTCACCACAAACTGAAGCAGGGTGCCTGAACCATTGGCTGGCTGAGGGGCATGGTGGGGTGGCTCGCAGTACAAGTGAGTAAGTGTCAGTGTCTTCACCAGGCACTCTCCATCCCCAATGTGCACCCGCACCTCTTCTTTGCTGATCCCTAGGTTGAGGCCCTCGCCCTGGGACACATAGCAGGAGCCTGAGCTTGTGGAATCCAACCCCCATCCTCCTTAGGGTGATGAGTGCCCAAGCAATGGCACACTGGTGGCACACCTACCTCCACATCCAGGACATGACCTGGCTTGAGGCGGTAGGGGTGAGTGACTCCTTCATGACTAAGTGGGACCAGGCGAGGGTTAGGCTGGTACAGAAATCCCTGGCCCCCACTAGCACTGGCAAAGTCTACTTGCATGTTGTCTAAGGCAAAGAAGACTCTCTTTGGCATGGCCCCATCTGGCACCGCTGGACTGTGGCACAGGAGGAGGCTAGATGAGTTAACAGAGCACAGAGTGGAGCACTGGAGGGGACAGAAATGCAGATCAGTGAGTGGTCTTGGTGATCCTCCCTGCCCCCTCACTAAGCATTCCCTGGGGATGACCCTATTCTCTGCTAGTGGTGGTAGGGGACTCACCTGTAGCAAGCCACTCTCAAGCTGGATACAACCCTGGGGATCTGCAGCAGGGGCACCGCAGTTCCTCCTTGGGTTCACATCCTGGCCCTGGCCCCCCAAAGCCTTTACCTGGTCCTCATCCTCCAGCCACACAGACAGCAAGGGCTGCCACACGACATCTAGGCCTATACCCCTGACTCGAATCAGTCGTCCACCCCTGTGCCAGGATGGAAGTCAGAGAGTTGAGAGGATCTTGGGTAGCTCAGCCTTAGTACCCTATCTTTCCAGTAGTTCACTACAGGTTGGCCAAGTACTCACCCCCGAAAACTGACACTAGGCTCTGCTGCCATCAGCTGGGGATTGGCAGTATATCGAAATGGGGTGGTGAGCAGTTTGCGCTCAACATGTCCAAAGACTACAAGGACTACTGCTTCTCCTGGCTCTGCTTGGGGCATGGTGTGGCATATGATGGCTTCAGGACACACAGGCTCCTGGCTGCAGGGGAAGGGATATTCTTACTTTGGGCTCAGCCTTAGACCTGGCCCAGTCCTTCAGGAAGACACCCACTTGCTTCCCTCAGCAGGGGCAGAGGTTGCTAGTACCACTTCGTTTAGAATTTCAAGGAAGCCTTGAATCCACTGCCCCATTGTATAGGATGGTCCTCCATTTGACAGTGGCCAGGTTCATTTTGACAGGTGAGCTGTGTTGAATACTTACATGAGGCAAGGTTGGTCACCCACAAAGGCCCTGATGTTGCCTCCTGTCTGGAGGTACTGCCCATGGATGGTGAGCTGGGTACCCCCTGACTGGGGACCCCACTGAGGACTCAGGCTTAGCAGGACAGGGTCCTGGGGAACAGAGTAGGATGGGGTAGACACAAGGCCCATCCTCAAGGCCCTCTAGCTTTGAGGTAAAGGCCCATTTATTGGTTTATTGAGTCAGGGGCTTCAGTTGACTGCACCCTACTTCTGGAAGTGCCATGCCTTTCTTCTTCCACCTTTTCTGACTAAGCTAGCTCCCCTCCTGTCTGCCCATGCCCTTGCTATCACCTCCCTTTGGGGGGCACTTTACACCTGGGACCTCCCAAGCTCTAAGCTCTAGGATCCAGTCACCAATTTGGGGTACCGCAGCAAAACTTGCTCTAATGGTCCTACTTTCACCCTGGGCTTTCCATTCCACAGTGGTCCAACCATGTGCCCAGGGCTCCAGATAGTATCTAGGAGAATCCCTACTTTCTCCACTTCCTCTACTAGGGCTGCAACAAGTTTTGCACGCACTACACCCTGACTGTCTGCTGTTCTTGCTTCTGCACTGCCTGCCTGCCTCCTGGACAGCTGCCAGTGATAGTGTCCATGTCATCACAACACTGCCCCTAGCCTGCTCTCCACTGAGAACATGCAGCTTCCTTCTTGGACATAGCAGCAGTGGTTCCTGCTGCCCTTGGATCCAGTTTGACATCTTTACATAGTCCTCCTTCCCACCATACCCTGCATTAGGACCACTTTAGGGGAGTTACTGACCTGGTAGATGAAGTGCTGGATTGAGATGCCGGGAGGACGACTCTTAATGGCCACTTGGACAGGCCCAGCAGTGCCATTGGGAGCAGGAGATATCACACACACAATCCTGGTGAATCAAGGTCCAGTAGCTGCTCAAGCCCTGGGGGAGCCTTTCAGGGGCTACCTGGAGCCTGCTCCTCCTCTGCTGCTTGTTTCCCTTTTGTGCTCTGACTCAGGACCTCACATTTCTTGGCTGCAAGCCTCCCCTCTCTCTGGGTAGCCAATTTCTGAGGCCTACTCTGGATAGCATCCCTCTCCTCCCCAGCCTGCTGAGGTGCCTCACCGGGCAGAGATGCGGTAGAGAGAAGCGTCAGGGTTGCAGGGCTGGCCAGCCACAGTCACAGCATTTTGCACATCATTAAAGGCCTGGCCCAGGTTGGAACCCAGGATGGTGATGGCCAAGCCACCTTCTGGGGGACCAGTCAGGGGTTCAATCTGTAGCAGAGAAGGATGGCAGATAGGATCCCCCAAAGCCACATCCTACTCTGCAGTGGTGGTGCCCAGTTAGCCAACTACTGGAAAATGTCTGGATCAAACTACTAGAGTCTAGGAGTCTGAGGCAAGGGGCTTGATGTGGGAGAGTATTAGATAGTGGAGGCAGGGACCTTGGGGAATGGGGAAGCCAGGATCTACAGGGGGGAGAGTCTCACCACATCAATGGTGGGTGTAGGGCATAGCTGTTCCACAGTATCTGGTGGGCACAGCGGCCCATAGCGGCAGGAAGGCTGGCCATCAACACACCACAGGCAGCTTAGGCTTCCATTGGCTGCCTGGCAATGGCTGCAGTCAGGGTGACCCACAGCACAGTCATACAGAGTCACTGGGGAAGGTGGGGCAGCATGTTAAGCCACTGCCTATGAGCCTCATATCCTGCCCCCACCTGCTTTGTCACCTCAGGGCTCACCATGAAGATCATGGGCATTGTCCAGCCGTTGGATCTCACCTCTGGTTACATAGATGGGCACTGGGAGCTCCCTCTGGGACATAGAGGGATGGAACTGTGGGCAGAGGGTAGGATCAGGCTTGAACCCCACTTGGGACATCTCTCCCTCCTGGTTCCTCCAGAACACTGTCCTTAGAATGGGTGTGATTGTCCTCTGCATCTCTAAGCAGAGGAACAGAGGCTGCAGGCACCCTGTTCCTGATACATGCCCAGGATGCCTGGCACAGAGTGGGCTTTTGTGGCTTTTGTAAGTAATGGTAAGTAGAAGAGGGACTGGGCAGAGCTCTCTCTCTCTCTCTCTCTCTCTCTCTCTCTCTCTCTCTCTCTCTCTCTCTCTCTCTCTCTCTCTCTCTCTGTGTGTGTGTGTGTGTGTGTGTGTGTGTGTGTGTGTGTCTGTGTCTGTGTCTGTGTCTGTGTCTGTGTCTGTGTGTCTGTGTGTTTGAGTGGAGTGGGGCTGCCCAAGACACCAAGCAGCTTTTCACCTGCTGGGCCTGGCAGTGAATGAGGCCAGAGTCCTTGGATGTCTCCTCTAGGAAGGCAGGTAGCTTCTGCAGTTTTCCAGGCAGCTCTAGCCAGCAGTAGTATAAGGCAGGCACACCCTGGAAAGTGCAGATGCCATAATGTCAATCTTGTGGACACTGTCTTCTCTCCCCTCATTCATTCCCCCATCCACCTGACTACTCACTCGGAAATAGTGAAGGTTCTGAATGTGCAGGGCCAAATGGCTCTCCCAGCCCACAGGCACCAATTGGGGACTTGCTAGGCCCTCAACCTGAGGACAAGCCCCTGGGCCACGAACCTGGATGTCCACCTAGGGAAAGGACAGCCTTAGCCCTTCAAACTTGCATGAGACCACTCCTGGGTAGGTCTGGTCCTGTCCTGCTGGGGTGGCCTTTTGGGTCGATCAGGTGCAAGGAGTTTGTATGTTGATCATACCCACCTCCTGAGCACTGTAGACAGTCTTCTCACCCTCTGGGCAGTGCTCGCCATATACACAATGGCTGCTCTGGGGGCACCAGTGGCACCGCCACAGGCTGCCCACACAAGTGCGACACCTGGAAGGGCAGGGATGTTCTCAGGCTGGGCACCATGTTGGATTTCCACCCTTACCCATCAGGAGCCAGATCCAGGAACTCACGGGGCAGCCACTTCCAAGGCCTGGACAGCACTGCAGTCATAGAAGGAGAAGGTGGTGGCAGCCACAACCACATCCTCAAACATCAGAGCCAGGGGCAAGATGACATGATCTGGAAGTGAGTGGTTGCAGAGGTCTTGTAGCTCCTGCCTGCTCCAGTTCCACCCCAGGATCCCTACTCAAAGGTCCACTCACCAGAGCCTGGAGGGTTAGGTGGCACCTGATCTCCAGGAGGGGTGACACAGACCACATGGAGCCCTTCCACCTGAGCCAGACTGTTATAGTCCCCAAAAGCACAATGGAAGTATTCATCCATAGCCAGGGTAGGCAGCCGGGGAACAGACAGAGTGACCTATGACACATGAGAGAGAAACAGGGAGATGGATCTAGAGCAGAGAGGTGTAAGTGCCATGCTGGGGCTGTGGGCAGAGGCATCTAGGGAAGAAATGGACAGGAAGCATCTAAGATTGTGTTCCCAGAGACAATGGCCACACTGGCTGAAACCATCAATGTCAGTGCCTCACCTGGCCCTGTTCCTGGCGGGGGTGCTGGGCTGGTAGCAGGCTCTGAATGTGAAGGCAGTAGTTGTCTTCATAGCTCCACAGCCACTGGTTTGGCTGGGCTGCCCGTCCACACTCGCCCCTCCGAGTACACCTGCCAGGTAGGAGCCCATTGGTTCACCATGTGAGTCTCAGGCTTCCTGGCATGGGGTTAGGAGGATGGCTTGGCTGGAGCGCAGCAAGGAGGAGGAGTGAAGGGAGCATAGGGCCTCATGGCCAGGGTGCAGGCTTTAGCCTTAAGTATGAGTAAGAGGAAAACACTTCCTTTCTTTCTCCCTCTTTCCTTCTCCTCCAACAAGGGCCCATGTCTCCCAGGCTGGCCTCAAACTTTACTATGTAGCTGAAGATGACCTTGATTTTCTAGTCTTCCTGTCTCTGCCTCCTAAGTGCTGGGATTACAAGGTATGTACCACCATGCCTAGCCCATGCCTAGCTCATATGTGGTAGGAGTTGAACCCAGAGTTTTATGCATGCTAGGCAAGCACTCCACTAACTGAGCTATATTCCCAGCCCACATTTCAGGTTTTCATAAATGAGTCCTGAGCTGACAGCCCAGGATGGAGGAAAGCTGGAGTGGACCAAGGAACACCAACAGCAAGTCATGGGTCCTGGAACAGGTGTCAGAGGCCTGGCTTGAGGTAGGATTACTGGAATGAGAGGTGAATGGTGACCTGGTGAGTGGGGAGGAGATTAAGGAACTCAGCAACACTGAGCCAAGTGGGCCTCTTGGCACACCTACAGTTGCTTCTGCAAACAGCTTCCTGGCCTCCAGAGTCAGTTGGTTTAAGCCTGGGCTCATGCTCACCTGCCCTGAAGGATGCACCAGCCACACAGTGGGTCCCTAGCCTGGAGGCAGGTGGTGCAGTTGGGGAACTGAGGACAGGCTGCCACAAGAATCCGGTCTACCTGGATGGGCAATGAGGAAGAGGTAAAAGTGAGTTACAAAGACTCAGGTCACTTAGACACATCACACCCAGTTCAGAGACAGACCTTACCTGCTGGGCAGTCAGGACATAGAGGTGGTCCCCACTACTGTCTACCAGCAGGTCTGGGCTGATGGCTGAGCCTGGGGGCCCCACTTGCTGGGAATGGTATATCTGGCCTTGGGAGCTGTTTAGGAAGACCTGGACAGGAACACAAAGATAGGACTGGGCCACTCTGCCAAGCCAAGACCAACTTTCTTGATGACTTAATGATGACCATTGAAGGCACATGCTTTCCTGTCTTCTTTACAGGAACATAAAAACTCTCAGGAAGTAACCTGTTCCTCCAGAACCAGACGCCCCTCCTGCTAGGCCATCAAGATACAGACATGCCACTTTCTCTAATTCAGGACCCTCAAGGTTAATCCACTCTCCAGGAAGTAACAAGGCTGGGGCAGCAGAAGCGCCCTGGCTGAGGCTCTTGAATATCAGGCCATTCTGCCACATGAGAAGAAGGGCAGCTATAGAAACAAAAAGTTCACTGGGAGGCAGGGTTTGTTTTAGAGAGAATCCTGAGTCCAGGCTACTTCTGAGCTCAGGTCCTCTGGGTCTGTCTACATACCATCCCTACCCACCTTCATCATCACTCTCATTGGTTAGAGAAGGCGCAGATGCCTCCAGAGGTTCCTGGGTAGTATCTCATTTGGGAACTAGAGCAGGAAATGGATTGTACCAGATGTCCAGGTGCAATGAAGCCTTCTGACCCACCAATGGGGCACAGCTGAGAGGTGGAGTGTCCTGAGGTTTTCCTGAACCACAAGTGGTAGGGCCACCTGGACAAGCAGCAAAGCCAGGCCCAGCCTGAAAATGTGGAGGCCATCCAAGAACACCCCCATTGGTTAGCATCTCACCTTATGTAGCTGGCCCTGGGTGTCTCCCAGGAAGGCTATCGTGTGCCCATCTGCCTGGAGAGCAGTCACTGCACTGATGGGCTGTCCCAGCTGTAGCAAAGGCTGGGCTTCCAGGGGTTGGCGGCCTGCGATAGGGCTGGGGGTATGTTCATCACCACAGGGGTATGACTCGGGGGAGTCCTGGATAGGCAAGGTGTAGAGAATCAATACCCAGGAGGGTGGGCATGCCCTCCCCTGGGAGCAGAGGATACCCCTACAGCCAGTGAGAAAGGAGTTGGGAGGAATCAGGAACCAGAGAATCCTGGCCAGGAGGGTCTGGAAAGCTGGTCCCCAAGCCTCACAACATCACAACTTGTCCCACAGAGGAAGAGAGACAGAAAGAAAAGGGCTGAGAGCAGGTCGGAGCTTGGAGACAGAGCCATCTGCTACCTATTGATATACCTAGCCAAGAGGTTAACCAGTAGCTATTCCTGGAGAGTACCCCTGTCCCATATCACATAGGGAGAGAGTTGGCAGGGCAGAGTAAGGAACAGAAAATGAAGACAGAACCCATGGTCAAAATTTGGGAGTCAGGCTCTCATCACTCACAGGAGGCAGGGTGATGCAACGGGACGTGACACCATACTCCACGGTGGCTTCTTCCATGCCACTGGGACCCTGACCACCAGTGGTATAGCAAAGTCGCCTGGCCTGTTCCATACTCTTGTCCAGGTCAGCTAAGGGAAAGGCACACAGGGCTGCCTGTGCCTGACTTGTGCCTGCTGCAAATGCGCCTAGCAATGTGTCTGGAGCAAGGAAGGCAGCTTGGATAAGGCCCTGGCCATGGCAGGCAAGGGGCACTTCCACATAGGAGTAAAGGTTGACATCTCCAAGGCAGACACGAGCTACATAGGAGCGATATTCAGCCTGGGCCCGAGCCCCACGCCGACGGAAGACAAAGTAGGCAGAGTGGGTATCAGAGAAAGCCCCCACATAGCTATTGTTATAGTCTGAGAAGTCTCCCACCACGAGTCGTCCCAGACCTTCGCTGGAGAAAGGCTGTGGGCCAGCCAGCTGGCGCACAGTTAGGGGTGGTACCCCTGCTGACAGCTTGCCTGCCAGGCCCCTGGCCACCAGCAGGAGGTCTTGGCCTGGCAAGGGCACCACTAGGCCCACTGTGGTTACTCCCGGGGTATTGGCAGCCACAAACTGCCCATCACCAGGGTCCTCAGCCTGGTACAGCACCTGAGCCACATCCCCAAGGCTCCGCTTCTCACACACACCCTGCCTCACTTGCCCACAAGCCACCAGCTCCTGGGCCCTGCTGCTCACTAGCAAGAGCTGGTTGGCATTATCAGTGAGCTGGGCCTGTGGGCACTCAGCCAAGTCACGGAAAGGCACACAGTCAGGACTGTCGATGATAGGGCCAGTGACAGCCACAGCCTCCATCTTCAGCTCAGGACTGAGCTGGAAGAGATGATTCACTGCACCCACGTAGAGTGTGCCCTGGCCTGGCTCCAGCACCAGGTGGTTGAAGCTGGTGTTGGGTACAGAGAAGCGATGGGCTCTGGTCAAGGGCAGCAGCAGCAGGAACAGCAGCAGAAGGTGGAGGCTGAAGAGAGGCCAGGGAGCCATCACAGGAGCCTGGAGGAAGTCAGTCAGCGTGAGCCCTGATGGGAGAATGCTGAAGGTACTCCATTCCCCAACAGGCAGAAGCAGGCAAGGGAGAGAATGAGAACTAAACTGGGAAAGAGACATTATCAGAGGAAGGCCAAAATGGTGAGGGAGAGAGAGAGAGAGAGAGAGAGAGAGAGAGAGAGAGAGAGAGAGAGAGAGAGAGAGAGGGAGAGGGAGAGGGGAGAGAGAGAGAGAGAGAGAGAGAGAGAGAGAGAGAGAGAGAGAGAGAGAGAGAGAGAGAGAGAGGGAGAGGAGAGAGAGAGAGGAGAGAGAGGGCTCAGGGGGAGGCAGGCAGGGAAGGGACAGAAAGGACAAGGAAAGTATCCTAGATTTGGAGAAAGAGACAGGATAGGGATGAGGGTACACAAAAAAAGATTTTTTTTTATATTCTGCTTTATATGCATGTGAACTATAAAGGGGACAGACCCTGAGAAGCCACATGGGCATGACAGAGGGATTCTGAGTGATAGAGGGGCAGGAGAAGAGAGGGGATGTGGGAGAAGAAAGCCATATCTGCGGGGCAACTGAGTATGGTCACTCAGACAAAGAAAGACAACATAGAGACAAGAGGTGCCACGCCATCATGGGTCAAGGGAAGTTACACATAGCAAAAGGGATAGAGAGAAAGCCCATTCTAGGTAGTCAGAGCCAGCTGCATAGAGGGACCTTTACTAGCTCAATGAGACAGCCAAAGAGAGCTTTGAGTTCTGGCCAGACTCAGGCATACTGACCCCCAAAACAGTAATGAACAGGTGGCCAGGGTCAGGACCTTAGACAAACACTGGGTGGACAGGAGAGCTTTGAGCCAGCCTGGAGGGTGCTGGGGAACTCTGGGGCACCAGGAGTCAGCTCAGGGTGCCAGAGTGATGAACCCCAACAGCTAGAGTCTGTGGAGCCCTCGCTCCAGCTTGGTCTCAGTGTAGGAGCACTGATGAGGACAGACATGAGCGAAAGGTCAGGGAGAGCTTGACTGCGGCAGGGGACAGGGAGTAGGGAAGCAGGACAGAGCTAGCCCCAGTTGTGAGTGGAAGGGGCCCTGAATCTGAGACACTGAGAGGAAGGGCCATCCCCCAACTCCCCTCTAACCCCAGAGCAGCCAGCAGCAGCCACTGACCAACTGCCGAACTAGGTGACATTCAGACAGATTTGATTCTGAATAGAGCTCTAGAAAGAGGGAAAGAGCTGGTGACAGATCCTGAACTGAGCCGGGATCTGTATAGCTAGTCATGTGGGCATGTGTCAGACAGAAGCCACCTACTGCCACTCAGAAAGACCCCAGGTTCCCTTATCTTGAGAGCACAGACAGGAAAGACAATTTCCTTTAGTGCCCATGTGACTCTGTGACAAAGTTGAGTGTGTGTAATGGAGAAGATGAGGTTGTTACCCAAGAAGGCAGAGGATAAAGAACCTCCCTGCAAGGCTGCCCTATGCCTAGCCTGGGCAAATTTATCCCTCTCTGCCTCTCTCAGTGACATCTTTGGGGATATAGGGCCCAGACACTTACCACCATTACGGAGTGCAGAAATGGGGTCTCCTCACATCAGCTGCCTCAGGGCAGTAGCGATGGGCACAAGATGGCTGTGGGGGGCATTGTCCTGAGTGGGAGGGAGACAGTCGAGGCTCAGCCCCATTCATGCTGGCCCTGGGGGAGGAAGGAGACGGGGAGGGGGCAAGGGCCTGGCGACCGGGCTCCACCACAGCTGGCAGCTTTGTCAATAGTGGCCTGGCCAAGGCAGCCCTGCCTCCACCCCAACAATGTCCCCTCTGTCCAGAGGCCCAGGCCAGGGACCTGCTATCTGGTGCTCTTACCCCCCACCAGGGCTGTTCTAGCCAGGGGGCTCCCTGCCACTCTCGGTCTCCAGGGAGACACCCCCTGAGATGTAGCGATAAAGGGATAGGGTTTTCTTGAGCCAATTATCCCCATGTGGCCCACAACTCTTGTGCCAGTGCAGAGTGCTCCCTCCCTGAGTTTCCCTGCATCCCTATAAAGAGCACAGGATAGTCCCAAGCCCCCACCACAGGGCCAAAGGCTCTGAGCCCCTGAAATGCCAGCCTTGGCCTCAGTAGCCTTGTTTCTGGCTGAAGTGCCAGTCCCAGCTGTCAATGCCTGCCTTTGTCCAGGCTAAGGCAGAGGAGGCGCTGACAAAGACAGCCCATGAAGAAGACCTTCTCCCCCGCCTCCTGGCCTGAAAGATTGTCCCCACCCAGCCCTACCCCCAGGACTGTGCCAGTTACAGTGTGGTAGTGGGGAAAGCCAGCAGAGGATGATGCATGGGAGGGGCTGAGGCAGAGGGACCACAGAAACTTCACCAGAATTGAGCCCTGGGCTTCAGACATGGAATAGGAAGGTCCTCCCAGGGTGGGTCTTCCACCATAGGAGGGAAGGGAGTGGCAGTAGCAGCTGGCTCCCCTGCTGCACTCTTAAGGCAACTTTGGGGCCAGCTAACCTTAAGGCCCATGGTACAGGGACATGTTTACTCAGCTTAGGGTTTTTGCTACTTCTATAGTTCACAGTAGCAGCCAGTTCCAGGGTGAAGAGGCAGGTGGCTGTTGCCATCTGGCTGAGCTGGTTGGTTGGCTGTGGGGGTGAGGAGCCTCCTTACATTATACCCCATTCCAGGCTAGCACCAGCTTTTTTATTTTTGGGTCAGACCCAGAGAGTTCTCACTCTCCTAGCTCCAGTGCCAACCCCTCCTGGGGAACACCATGCCAGGTATCACACAGGTGTCTCTGTGGAGCCTGATTAGTGTCTGATGACCTTTGCTTGACTCCAGTTAGTCAGCCCAACAGACCCTATCTTCTCCCTGTCCTTAGCAGCCCTGAAGCAGTGTCCTTAGGCCCAGTGGTCCCTGCACATGCTGTCCAAACCAGCCCCAGCTTCTACCTACCTGGAGGACCACTAATGGTCTGGGGAGCAGCTGCTTAGCTAGGAGTGGTCCCAGGGGAGCTCCAGTTTCCTGCCTCACAATGCAGTTGTGTCCAGCCCAATACACCCCAGTGATCCTAGGTTGAGAGCCCAACCCATTCTGGCCCGCCCCTTTGTCTAACAGCAGAAGGCAGGTTTTTGCTCCCCTTTGCTGACTTCAGCAAATGTAGTAGAGGACTGGCTGGCTATAGGTACCTGACTGGAGCTATTAAGAACAGGCCACTTCCCAAGGTGAGCATTTCCTAGTCTCCCACAAAGTGCCCATTGAACATCCAGAGAAAAAGAAAATATTAATATCCAATGATATTAACACATTTTGTCCTCCCAATGACTCCAAAAAGAGCTTTGGTCATTTCCTCCAGGCAACAGATGGGGAAACCAAGGCAAGGGAAGTTTCACGGCTAGTAAGTGGCAAGGCTAAGAGTTACCTACGGGGTTCCAACCTATATCCATCTGGCCATGTGGTCTTGAACTGTAAACCTTGGCAGGCATAGAGCAGGAGGGAAATGGATGACATGCCCCTGTTCTTTTGAAGAAGCAAGTAGTGTTTGTCCCCTGACTGGAGCATAAGATTGGTGAAGGGTGAACTGCAAGGGTGCAAAGGTCAGCAAATCATGGTCACAGCTGCCAGGTTCTAGAACTTGAGCTTGCCTTCCTAGGCTTTCTTTCTTTTTTTTCTTTTTCTTTCTTTCTTTTTTTTTTTTTTTGTTTTTTGTTGTTGTTGTTGTTTTCGAGACAGGGTTTCTCGTGTAGTTTTGTGCCTTTCCTGGAACTTACTTTGTAGACCAGGCTGGCCTCAAACTCACAGAGATCCGCCTGCCTCTGCCTCCCGAATGCTGGGATTAAAGGCGTGAACCACCACCGCCCGGCCCAGGCTTTCTTGACAGCTTTACATTTGGTCAAGTGCAAACCTATGGCCCTAGGATGGAGAATGTGGGGAAGGCTGGATCAGGGATGCTATAGCCATGGAAAGAAACAAATGCATTGCAGATGTGTTTGGTGGTATAGACATAGGATCTTGAAAGCCTGGTACCATATAGGTGCAGGTGGCAAAGATGGTAGAATTCAGGAGCTCTACCCTGGGATGTCCTTTCTCTACAAGCTGGTCATCATAGAAAGAGTGCATGGAGATGAGGAAGAAAGATGGAGGAGCCCACATGCAGCAAGGGAGATGGCTAATGAGGCCTTCTGGATATGGAATGACAGCTTGGCTTGGGGTGACCTGAGTGCTGATGGTGGTTTATATAGAAAGTTCCCAGCCAGGGCTGTTACACAGAGAAACTCTGTCTTGAAAAAAACAAACAAAAAAAAGAAAGAAAGAAAGAAGGAAGGAAGGAAGGAAGGAAGGAAGGAAGGAAGAAAGAAAGAAAGAAAGAAAGAAAGAAAGAAAGAAAGAAAGAACACTTCTAGCCAACCAGAGCTATACAGTGAGAGCCTATCCTGAGTAGTAGGAAAAAAGAAAAAGAAGAAAGCACAAATATCTTCAGTTCAATTTTGGGAATGTTTCCTACCTCTTTTGTCACAGAAGAAAGCACATCTATGGACAAGCAGCCTCATTCTCTGTAACTACACATGTGAATTGCCTGCACAGGCTTCTTTCATGCCCTCTGAGCAGTCAGGAGCAGCTGCAGCTGGTAACAACGGTGACCTATGTTGACTCCAGGAGTGAATATCTTACACAAAAAGAACTATGCTGCTACAGTCCTGCATATGGCTTGTTCCTCTTAATAGCACCCTTTGTAGATGTGTCACCCCGCTCTACATGAGTCCTCCACAGAGCAGCTGTATGAAACTCTTATTTATAGGTAGGGAAGCAGCCTCTACTAGTCTAGTGCCATCTCCTGACTGTGTGCCTGGGTCTCTAGATGCTGACAAGGGACTCACTGGTCAGAAGAGATATGGACTTCCTGCCTCTCCCACTTCTACTGTACATGTGGTGTCTTCAATACCTCCAGTGCACTTGAAATTTTAAAAAATATTTTATTTTATATATATGGGTGTTTTACCCGCATGTATGGCTGTGCTCTACATTTGTGCCTGGTGCCTAGAGAGGCTAGAAGAGGGCATCAGATACCCTGGAAGTATAGTTACAGACAATTGTGAGCAGCCATATGGGTGCTGGAAATAGAATCTGGGTCCTCTGCAAGGGCAGCCAGTGCTCTTAACTACTGAGACATCTCTCCAGCCCCAAGCATTTTTTTTTGAAACAGGGTCTCACTGCATAGCCTTGGTTGGTCTGGAAAACAATCTGTAGACCAGGCTGGCCTCTAATTCACAGAAACCCTCCTGCTTATGCTTCTTAAGTGCTGTGATTAAAGGTATAGGCTACTATACCTGGCAGAGCTGGATTTTGTGATAAGATTTTTTTTCTTTTTTAAACTTTTTAAAAAAGATTTATTTATTATGTGTACAGTATTCTGCCTGCATGTGTCCCTGCAGGCCAGAAGAGGGCACCAGATATCATTACAGGTGGTTGTGAGTCACCATGTGGTTGCTGGGAATTGAACTCAGGACCTCTGGAAGAACAGTCACTGCTCTTAACCCCTGAACCATCTCTCCAGTCCTTGTGATTAGATCTTAATATGGATTTTAAGCACTAGGGTTAAGAGAAAGAAAGGCACAGAGAAGAAAGTAATCCACACCAGAGATTGTAAAACACTATCTTGGGCTTGCTTGCTTGCTTTCTTCCTTCCTTCTTTCCTTTCTTCCTTCCTCCTTCCTTCCTTCTTTCATTGTTGTTTGGTTTGGTTTGGTTTTTCGAGACAGTGTTTCTCTGTGTAACAGCACTAGCTGTCCTGGAACTCATTTTGTGGACCAGACTTGGCCTTGAACTCAGAGATCTGCCTGCCTCTGCCTCTCAAGAGCTCAGATTAAATAGGCATGCACCACCACTGCCCAGCTTCTTGTTGGGATTTATGTTGTCTTTCTTGGACTACTAGTTAGTTTCTTTCTTTCTTTCTTTCTTTCTTTCTTTCTTTCTTTCTTTCTTTCTTTCTTTCTTTCTTTCTTTCTTTTTCTTTCCCTTTTTTGGGACAGAATCTCACATAGATCAGGATGGCCTGAAACTCACTGTATAGCCAAGGATGACTCTGAACTTCTCATCTTAAATGCTTCCACCTCCTGAGTACTGAGATGACAGGTGTGTGTCATGTCCTGTTTATATTGTATACAAGAACCCAGCCAAGGGCCATAGGCATGTTGGCAGGCACTCTATCAAGTAAGCTGAATCCACTATTTTTGTGTTTTTCTTGAGACAGGATCCAACTGTGTAGCTCAAGCTAGTCTCAAAACTTATGATCCTTGATTCTCCTGACTACCTCTTGAATGCTGGAATTACAGGTGAGTGCCACTGGGCCTGACTTGACTGCTAGCTTCTAGTTTCTTCATCTTTTTTTTCCAGACAGGATGTGAAATTTATTACTGAACATGATTTAGTAGGGTAGAGGAGAGCACCACAGTAGACTACCTCAGAAGTGCAGGGACCGCCAATGCCCAGGGGACCATGATTGGTGGTGTATTTAACCCCACAGCCATCAGGGATGAGTCGCTTCTCAGTGTCCATGTCTTTAGATCAATCTGCATTCAACTTAGCAAAGACCCACCTCTTTGAGATGTGGGTCTGGAGAGAGACAGATGGAAAAAAAAAAGAAACTCAGTGAGGATGACCAGGGCAAGAAAGTGGGAGGAAGGGGCTTAATAACACCACTTGCCTTCTGGCAGTCAGAGAGCTTTAAGTTGGCTTTCAACTTTCAACATAGGGCCTCCATCAGATGTTCCTTATTCTGAAGCGTGATTCAAGTGGACACGATGGCCTGGACAATGAGAACCCTGGCCGTGGTAACCTGAGGCACCACAAATACCTGTCTGGAGCCTAGACTGAGGACAACATTGAGATCAGATGCCCTGCCTGCAGGGCTTCAACGGGTTCTCCACCACCCTAAGGACGGAATGATAGGGACAGGAGATACAAAGAAATACACCAAGTCTAGATTCTGATCAAGGTGCAACTTTATTTTTCTCCAAGAGGGTTTATATAGTTCCTGCAGGGTGGGGGGAGCAAGAAGCTGTCATCTGCATAAGGTGGGGCAAGCTAACAGGATGTTTGTATAGGATGTTTACAGGGTGAAAGGGTCAGGGGCTCTGCCTCAATGTCCTGTTGCTAGGCAACCTGACAGTAAGATGATCTAGTTGCCTGTCCTTAGAGATTCTGTCCTTGTCCCTGACATCTCCCCCTTCTTAGTAATAAATCTAAGGGCCAACATAAACCAGGTTTGAATGGTCTAAAAGGAGGGCTCTGAAAGAGGCTTTGCATGGAGGATTACAGAGGCCCTATCCCTCTAAAGGTTGTGAAAAAAAGGTCTGAAAGGGAATGTCTCTCCAGACTCAAGCACCACAGGCGTCCCCATAGTGCGGGAATCAATGGACCGTGCAGTTTTTTGAGGGAGCGGAAATGGGTAAGCGCAAGGCTGCTACTGCACAACTGCTATGCAACAGGGCATATAATCTAGGCTCTCGGGATTTTGGGGTACCATGGTCCCCAGACTGTGCAGTCCCAGCTGCACTCCAATCATGCCTTGAGTGAGCCTTTTTCCCACACACAGGTGCAGCCTCCCCCGAGTGAAGGGGTCTGTGTGGGGCATCTCTCAGGGGAAATTTCAACCCTGGAGTCCTGCATATCAAAGCAGTGGTAATGAACCTGAATCTGCCTGGCTGGCAGGTCTGTTATTTGGCTTCGGATGAACCGAGTGAGCCAGGAAAGTGCCCATGGCCCAAAGGCAAGGACCAGGCCTACAACCGGTCCTAGGAGGGAGGAAAGAAGGGTTGTTAGCCAAGGGGAGGCAGAAAACCAATTCTGGAACCACCCAAGCTCTTGTTCTCCTTTTCTTTTTCTCTTTTTCTAGTCCTTTTCTAACCTACCATACTGTCCCTGACTACCCCGGTGTGGTCTCTAAAGAAGCAACATTCCTCTTTGAGCCCAGTACAAAGGCCATCCTGTTGTAGAAAGAGGAGATCCAGGCCTCTCCTGTTCTGTAAAACTACCTCAGCTAGGGAGGAAAGGGATGTCTCAAGGGCAGAAATTCCCTGTTCAAATTGGGCAATATCCTCGTCTATAGACAGTTGAAGTTCAGAGTAATGTTGGTTGGACAGGACCAGAGAGGCAATTCCTGTGCCTGTTCCCGTTGCTCCAAACCCCAGAAGGACTGCTAAGGTGATAGCAGTAACAGGCTCCTGTCAAGGCAGTCATCTCAGCGCGGCTTCTCTTCCTAGAGATCTAGGAATTGACCTGAGGAATAATAAGTTAGTCTAGGTGGAAGGGACCTAAGTGCCCTGAGTGGCATCTCTGGTGCTACCCTGTTTGCTGTGCTACCTGCCAGCCACAGACTGTGTCAAGCTGGCCCAACATGGCTATGACCGCCTGTGACACCAAGGCCAGCAAGTCCGACAAGTCTTTCTGACACCTTGGATGAAAATTCAGCACTGCCCTTGAAAACATGACCCCTGCTGTCAGACTGGATTTGTGACAAGCAGTGTCCCTGCTCAGCCCAGAACGTGATTGACTATGGGACTTGTATACTGTGTTAAAGGTCTCAAACACAGTTTACTGTAAAGTTCCCACTGTCCCCCCACAGGAACTCTGAGCAGAGTGATAACAGAGCTAAAGGGCTGGTGGGTGTTGCTGTGGGCGAGGACAACAGCCTGGAGGGCTTGCCGGAGGGACAGCATTTGAAACAGAAGAAGTTTCCTCAGGAGAGGGGCTATCTCTCCTGGGCAGATCAGGTATATTTACAGCTCTAACCAGGCATTCTGGTAACCATCTGGGAGCAGAGTGTATCTGGTCAAGAATGCAGGCCAAACCTCGTCCCCAAATAAGGACCGGATCGGGGCCCTTCCAACGCCCCATGAGGGGATCTCGCCACATGGCTAGTGGCCGGGTGGCATCTGGAAAAGGGTGCCAGTGCCTGTCAGCGGCAGAGTGCCCTGCAGCATCTAAGGTGAGGAAGTTGAGAACAAACAGAGCATGGCTCAATTGATCTCTGGGGGAGGTAAAATGAAGGTTAGAAGACTTGAGGCGAGCCAACCAGGTCTTTAGGGTCTGGTGGGCTCGTTCTATTATGCCCTGTCCCTGGGGATTGTAAGGTATCCCTGTGGTATGAATAATTTGTAGACTATCACAAAATTTTTTGAAGCCTGTGCTGGTATAAGCAGGGCCATTGTCTGTCTTTATCTTAGCTGGTTTCCCCAAGGCAGAAAAGGCAAGAATCAGAAATCTGAAAACAAGACTGTTGGTTAATGGCAATGGCTATCTGAATCAAAGCCTCGTTGGCTGCAGGGGAAAGTTGGCTGCAGGGGAAAGCACACGGGGTGATGTGGGGTCAGGGTCGCCCCGGAGGATCTCGTAGAGGGGAAGGAGAGAATCCGTAGGAAGTTTAAGATAAGGCCTAAGCCATTGGATATGGCCGAGCAATTGTTGGAAATCATTTAGGGTATGGAGATGGTCAGTGCGTAACTGGACGCGAGGAACGAGGACCCGGTTTGAATGGAGTTCCAACCCCAGGTAACTGAAAGGGTCCTGGGTTTGGACCTTATCTGGAGCAATCTGTAGTCCCAATCCATTAAGGACTCTACTGAATTCTGAAAAACATCGCTCAAGGGAGATGGGGTCAGGTGCAGCGAGGAGAAGGTCATCCATGTAGTGTAAGATATATCTATCTGGGGCCAATTAAGTCTGACAGGGTCCACAGCCTGAGCCACGAATTTCTGGCAGAGAGTAGGACTGTTGGCCATGCCCTGGGGTAATACCTTCCATTGGTAGCTGGGGCGGGGAAGGCTGAATGCAAAGTAGGCTCTGTCCTCGGGGTGCAAGGGAATAGTAAAGAAACAATCTTTAAGGTCAATGACCATGTTGTAAAATTTAGCAGGAATAGCCACAGTCAAAGGCAATCCAGGCTGAAGTGCCCCCTTAGGCCTCATTACCTTATTTACTGCCCTTAAGTCTTGAAGGAGCCTCCATTTTCCTGACTTCTTTTTGATAACAAATATAGGTGTTTTCCAAGGGGAGTTGGAAGGCTCAATGTGGCCAGCCATAAGCTGCTCCTGTACAAGCATAGTGGCGGCCTGTAGCTTTTCTTGAGTAAGGGGCCACTGTTCCACCCAGACAGGGGTCTGGGTCATCCGGGTAATTTTGTCTGCATGGGGTACAGGAGGGTCAGTGGCCGCTACTAAAAACCAGAATATCCCAGGCCATGTCTATCCTCCTTGGGAATGGGCTGAATTGGTTGGACTCTCCCCTGAGCTGCCTTGCCCAAGCCTGTGCCAGGGATATAATTCATCCGTAGCATTTGTTGTGTGACTGTAGAGTTTGGGCTATATAAGATTACTTGCATTTGTGAAAGTATGTCCCTTCCCTAAAGATTAACAGGCAGGCCCGGAACCACAAAAGGAGTGACAGTCCCCTCCCTGGTCTCCTTCCTCGTCCTTCCAGGAAAGTGTCCTTGAACTAATTAAAGGATTATTAGACTGACCGATTCCTTTTAAATCGGTGAGGGATGGAACCAGTGGCCAATTGGACAGCCAGTGAGACTGTGAAATGACTGTGGTGTCTGCCCCTGTATCCAAGATACCCTGAAACTTCTTTCCCTCTATAGTAAGGGTGAGAGTAGGGCGATCCTGAGTAACAGGCTGGACCCAGTAGGCGTCCGAGGAGCCCAATCCAGCTGACCCTCGAGGGGTGTTTGTAATTGAGGGATTATCACAGACAGAGGAGGGTAGAGGAACTAACTGTGCCAAGCATGTACCTTGAGGAATCGTGACCATGCCATTTACAGCAGTGGCCAGAATCTTAATTTCATCTGTGAAATCACTATCTATTATGCCAGGGTAGACCTGGACCCCTCGGAGGGCTGCAGAAGCACGGCCAAGGACAAGCGCGCAAACATTAGGAGGTAAGGGCCCTGTCACCCCTGTAGGGATGACCTGAGCCCCTTCAAGGGAGCTTAATACTGTTTTGGCGGCGGCACACAAGTCCAATCCGGCACTGCCTGGAGTTGCTCTCCAGAGGGAGGAGAATGGAACTGGGGCAGGAGAATTTGTTGAGGCTGGGCAGGCAGGAGGTGAGCAGACCTCAAGGCCCCAGGGTGCGCTCTTGGAGGCATTGGGGCCAGGGGCTGGCCCCTTTGGAAGTTTCCCGGCACCCGAGGAGTAAGGGGCTGACCAAGATAATTGACTTTTGACCTGCATTCTGTAGCCCAATGACGGCCCTTGTTGCAGTGGGGGGCAGAGAGTGGAAGGCAGGGGCCTCATAGAGGCGGCCTCCTGAGCCGGCTGGGCTAAGGGCACGAGGCTGTGACCTTTCTGGGGACATTCCCTAGTGAAATGTCCGGGTTGTTTACAGAAATAACAGGTGCGGGCTCCAGGCTGTTGTGAAGCCCTATAGCTAATCCCATGGCATGGGCAGCGCAACACCTGAACAGAGTCTCACGTATTCAGACAGGTCCGCTCGTTTTATGCTCTGTTTTTATGAGGGCGGAGGACTTCCTGGCAGGCAGGGTTTGCATTTTCAAAGGCCAAGTGTTTAACAAAGTTGCTTTCGTGTTCGTTCGGCCCAAAAAGTCTCTCAGCTGCATCATTTAAACCAGAGACAAATTCACTAAAAGGTTCATCAGGGCCCTGACAAATCTTTGCTAATGAGGTGGTAGCCGAAACCTTTTGGGGCAGGCGTTTCCAGGCCCGGACCCCCTCATTTTGAATCTGGGCCAGGAGGCCAGGAGGGAATTTTGCCTCTGCTGCATTTGTATCGTAAGGGGGGTTGCCGAGGAGTTTCTTTAGTGTCCAAGTTTTTGAGGACGGCTGTTCAATATTTTTTTGAACAACTTCTCAACAATTTTCTGTAAATTCTGTTTTCCAGAGGACAGAGTCACCCCCAGAAAGAGCCACATGGGCAAGAAAATACCAGTCATTAGGGAGTCAACCAATGTTCGCTCTAGTTTTCCACCAAG